AGTCAAGAAATTATTTTCAGTGAGTGCCACAGCTGACCTCGCGGTCCGGAGAGAAAACTTATGGACAGAATTTTGGCTTCATGAGAACTCACTAAAGTAATTCTCCTACTTCTCACTTGTTTTTTTTTTTTTTTCAAATATTTATTTATTTATGCATACAAGAATGGGGGTACAGGACAGAGGTGCGGGGGGTGAGAAGATCCACCAGAGACAGAGTGGGGAGCAGAACAGGCAGACTGACAAAATACACTGCTGAGGGGAGCAGCGGGGAGGCAGGAGAGGTCTGCTGAGCCATGTGGGTAGCTCCCTGGCTGGGGATCAAACTCCTGCTGCAGAGGCTGTGGATAACTTCATAGGTTGCTTCTTAAGCCCTTGTGCCACCAGGGAGGTCCTACTTCTCACTTTTAACTATAACACTCCTTCATGGGCAAGAGAGCTCGGCTCACTCTGGACAGCTGAATCCATACTTTCCCTCATAACCTCCATTCCTTCTCTCCAGGACTGTTCAAAAAGAACTGGTCTCAGGTTTGTCATTTCCAGGACACTCTTCTATTAATTTCCTCAACAGATTAACAGCTGGAATGACTCTTGGAGAATTTTATCTAGTGGATGAGGAAGCTGAGAACACATACAAGAATCTGCCCAGCATCACATGGGCAGTCCTGGAGACAGGACTGGAGATCTGCACTCCTGACTCCCAGGGCAGACCAGACGTCTGCTGGCAGGTGAGAAGACTCACCCCCGCAGAGGACTGTAGGCGTCAGAACAATCCAGAGGTGGGTATGTCGCCATACTGGCGAGAAGTCTGCAGTCTCCAAGCCTAGAGTCAGGGCAGATACTTTCTGCTCTTCCAGAGGAAACTCACCTTGCTCCACCAGAGCTCACAGAGAACTATCACGATGACCCCTTAACACTGGACACCAACCTCACGGAAGTATGCCTGGCCTGATCCGAGAGATCATGGGTGCGCCAGATTTGAAAACATCTTTAATTGATGAAAAACTCCAAGGTTTGGGGGTTGATTTCTTAGTCTTTCTCTTATACTGAACCATAAATTCTGGGATAGGTTAAGATGTTCTCATCATAATTCTTAAATTCCCTCTGCTGGGAAGTGGTAGTTACAAGATCTACTTAGCCTAACTCAGGGATATTTTAAAGCAAATTTGAAGGGAAGGAATAAAAATCTAGAACTTAGTTTTATTTGTTGCTTTTTATCTCTATCCTAGGATTCTAATTCTTTATTCTGTATCTGTGAACTTCAGAAATTTTTTTTTTTTTATAAATGAAGACGTTTATAATTAAGTCACAGGAATGGCAGGGAGTAGAAGTAGAAGGTCAATTACCTAGTGAAGGGCAGGGCTGAGCAGGCTTAAAGATTCAATTTTTAAAAGGGGCTTTTATTCATGCACACGTTCATGAGCTGTTAGCGCAGGCATCTTCTCTGGAGCCTGAGGCAGTGTCCAGAGCAAATCTGGAACTAAAGGCCAGATGAACTAAATGATGGACAGAGGGTTCAGAGTCAGATTTCTGTCTGAAACAAGGACCTCCCAACCTTACCTAGAACACAGTAGCACCTATCAATCATTTCTCTCCCTCCATCATTATCAGTAAGAATGTATAAGGAGGTGTTTTTTGCCTACAATTACTACGAAGCACAGTCAATTCTGAACCCAAGAAATCTGAAATTGCCAGGTTCTTTGTTAGATCTCAGTGGTACACCTGAAGGTGAGCCTTCCCATGCCAGCCAAGTACCTGAATGCAAAATATTAGTCAGTTTTACCCTATGAAACTACGCCAGGTAAAGGCTGTAGGAAACAAAGCTTTCAGTGGCCACAAGGCACCACGCAAGATAAGAAGATCCCAGGTCTTCAGGTTGGGTGGTTTATCTGATAATAAAGAGGCATAAATGGGGGAGGAGAGTGGAGGCCACAGCTGCCAGTCCAAAGGTTGGTTCTAAGTGCTGCTGAGAGAGACTCTGCCATTCAGCTGATCGATCTGCCATTCAGCTAAGGCCTCGCAAGACAGGATCAATCAGGGTGTTATCTGGGCTATTCGTTAGCAGTTGAGGGCTCTTTGATAATTCTGAGTCTCAGTTTTAAACACTCATAGGAGATAATCAGAACATTAATGCATACTTTAAGGAAAGAACCAAACCTGGGGAAAAAACAAAAGGAATTGAGATGTCAAGATTTTATAGCTGCAGGCATGGGAAAGAGAGAAAACGAGTGACTTTTTCAAAAACAATGAGAACATTTTCTGATGGAGATATTTTCAAGGAGACTGCATTCAGGATGAGGTGAGTGGTCTTGGAAAACTCCCATCCCTGGAACTGATATGCTGGCTAAGCTCCAGATATGGTGGGTGCATTACCCTGGGGAAGAGATGACAAAATTCTTTTACGGAACAAGGTGTCCAGTGCATCTGAGGACTTGAGCAAAACAAAATGCTACCCCTTTTAAATAAAGAGAAGTAACCTTGGAAGTTGTCTGGATTATCCCCATGCTTCTAAAATCACCCTTAGTAGTTTTAAGGAGCAACAGGAAGAATAAACATCCCCTAGAAATTCAAACATGGTGATGAAAAGCAGATTCAGACACCAAGTCACTGGTGGATGAACAGGAAGAGGCGTCTCAGAGACAGCGCCGAACACGGGCCGAACGTACACAGCTGGATGTTCTGAAATGCACGAGACTTTTACCCAAACGGGCAGTGAAAATTCTGGAGCTCCAGGTGTCAGTCAAGTCTTATTTTCCACCCACCATCCAAAGTGCAGCTACGGTATAGGCCAGGGGGCCCCCTCTGCTTTATGCCATGGCTATCAGTGGACACGCCTCATCACTCCAGCCCCTTAGCAAGAAGCGTCCATGCCTTTTTCTCTCTATAGCCCCAAAACAACTGCATGTTGTGGCTGCTCAACAAACATCTGTCCTGTCCAAGAAAAAGTCACCGTGAGGGAGGTCCCGGGAGAGCCTGGTTCCCAGAATGCTGGGTTACCCTGAGCCTGAAACCAGGCTAGAGTGGTCCTGCAAGCTAGTGTCTGTCCCCAGGGGCCGGGGACTGCCTTGGGCCAGGGACTGCCTTAGGCCGAGGACTGTCCTCTGTGTCGCCCTAGGTTTCTGGGACAATTCTACCTGGAGAATGATGTTTGATTTACACCTATTCACTAATAACTGGTACAGATGTGTTCTCAGGAGCCACTGTCAGGCTTCATGACAATCTAAGGACTCGCTGATCCCAACCGCTAGATGGGTTACTACTGAAGGATGAAAGGCCAAAGGGTGTTGTCAGCTGGTTACATGCCTGTCTCATGTGCTTTATTTCCCTGCCACCCAGCACACATGCTAAAATGCTTGCCAAATAAATGGCGATATGTAGGGTTGTGAAGGCTCGCAGCAGCTTATTTGGTTTCCAGAGGAATGTGGGACACCTGACCGAGTGTCAAATTCTGGAGTTGCTCCACACAGAGAGGAGAGGAAGAGAGTGGTTCAGGTAGGGCAGGCCATGGAGGGAAATGTCACAGTGGGGATGTTTCAAATCACAGCTTCCTAGGGCAGTTGGGAGTGTGGCAGAGGTGGGTCTGCCTCAGTTACTAGAAGGTCCAGAGAATGAAGGGCTTTTAGGATTCCCATCGGTGTCACACTTAAGGGTTTATAGTGACATGAAGACTCTGGCACTTGCTCTCCTCTCTTGAAAGAGAGCTGGCCGTGTCACTTTAGTTCTCTGAGCTTTATCCCAACCCATTCTCTAATTCCTACAGCTCAAGCTTTCAAGTGCGGGCGGCAGAGGCCCGTGTACCACAAGGTGCTGTCAATAGCTGCTGAAGGGAGCACTGTCACCTTGGGGGCTCCTGCTGGCGCTCCTTGGGACAGGACTTTTTGATTCACTCCGAGGGCAGGTGACCTCCTCATCTCATTCAGGCATCTCCCCAAAGGCTGGCTTTCTGAAATGGGGAGTGCAGGGACAGCAGGAGCATCGTGATGGGAGCTACAGAAGCTGTGTTGAGAAAGGAATGCACTAAAGAGCAGAGATCCCTGCTGCTGAGAGGCTGGGCTGCTGGTGGCCATGGGAGGGATTTCCACACTGGCCTATTCTAGAGCCTGGAGGTCCTCTACCAGCAGCCTACCACAGGGCCAATGGGAAAGATTCTAAAAGTGCAAGCCTAGCCTCTAGACACTCCACCTTCTTGGTACTTCTCAGCAGGAGGAGAATTCTCCATAGGCTCTAATGCTGCATGTTCTGTTCACCCTTCGTAAAAAAGGTGTGGATTTGGTTTGAGGAAAACACTAGTTATTACACAGAATAAGAGAAAATTGTCAAGGTTAGAAAAGACAAAAAGGAACAAGCACTGGTGGGGTGAGAAATAGTTAAGAGACGAAATAGTTTAGAAATAGTTTAGAGCTTCCAACCTGAAAAAGAAATGGGAGGTAATGGCCACCAAGCCTTGGAGATAGACTTGGAACCTGGAGGAAAAAAGGACTTTCTTAATTTGACGGTCACCGTGGAATGGCAACGTGCAAGCGGGGGGCTTGATTTTATCGTGAATTCCCCTCTCCCTGAGAGACCAACTCATTCAGACAACTTGGGTAGAAAGACAGTGTCCATGAGATCAGCCTGCAGGAGTCTCCGCCCCCACCCTTCCCAGCGGCACCCTCTGCCCCATCTCTGGGCAGAGAGAAACCTCACGCTGGTTTGGGACAAAACCCTTCTGTCCCCAGACTCCCAGAGTGCCTGACACAGTGGTTCCACTCCCGGCTCCTGATCTTGGCATCTTCGAGCTCAAACCAACCCAAGTGAAGAGCTGGTTGCCTGTCCCTGGTGCCGAGGCGGCCGGCAGAGCTCCCTGCCCACAGTCAAGACCCGAGCGCTCGTCACCCAAATCTACACCTGCGTCTGATCTATCCCACACCCCGGGCCCCCTGAAACTCCAGCAGGCAAAGGAAGAGAAACCCCCCTTTTTGTTTTCCTGCCAGAAGAGGTGGAATAGAAAGCAGGACACGTACAGCAACAATGAGGAAGTCCAGCCAGCACCAGGCGTTGGTGAAGAACTTGACGAAGCCGTAAGCGGTCCACTTGAGCAACATCTCCAGGATGAAGATGTAGGTGAACACTTTGTCTGCGTACTCCAGGATGGTACGGATGGTCTTTCTCTGCTCGATGTAAATGTCCTCGAAGGCCTGAAAGAGAGGCAGGGGCTGCGTGCAAGTGTCTGCAAGTGGATAAATAAGAGCGGAGGTTGGGCCCTCCCCACAGTGCCTCGTGCTGGAGCCTCCTGTCACCAGCTTCCTGCCTCCTCCCTCTATTCCCCGGCCTCATGGGGCTTTTTAAAAGAAAAAAAAAAAAAAAAACCCTTAAAATTAGTGTCACAATCTGTGTCAGAATATTTTCATAACCTCAATAAGAAACTCCGGGGGCCTCCCTGGTGGCGCAGGCGGTTGAGTGCAGCGCTGTGAAGCTGTCCGCAGCCTCTGCAGCGCCCATTCAATCCCCGCCAGCCTTGGAACCCACACAGCAAGCAGACCTCTCCTGTCTCGCCTGCTGCTCCCCTCAGCAGTGTATTTTGCTTATTCTGCCTGTTCTGCTCCCCACTCTGTCTCTGGTGAATCCTCTCACCCTCCCGCACATCTGGCCTGTACCCCGGTTCTTGTATAAATAAAATAAATCTTAAAAAAAAAGAAGCTCCGTAGGCTCTGGGCATTAACCTCCTGTCTCCCTGCCACCCCCTTATCCCAGGCAATCATGAATCCACTTTCGAGCTCGACAGATCTGCCTATTCTGGACATTTCCTAACACATGGTCCTTTGTGACTGGTTCCTTTAACTTAGCATAATATTCCCAAAGGTCACACGCGTGGCAGCATGTGTGAATACTTCACTTCTCTTTATGCGTGAGGAATGTTCCAGCACACACTAGCCCACACTTCGCTGACCCTTCTTCAGCTGACGGACATTTGTGCTGTTTCTGCTTTTCGGCTGTGGTGAGTGATGCTGCAATGAGCATTGTCTACAAGGTTATCTTTTCCTGTAAGTTTTTTATGTTTTCGTTTCTCTAGGATGTATACCGAGGAGTAGGGCTGCTGGGTCACACGGGTCTAGGTTTAAGTTTTGAGGAACAACCAAACTGTTTTCCCCAAGAGGCTGCATCGCTCTATGGCCCCCCCAGCAGCACATGGGGGCTGGGCTCCCCACATCTGTGCTGTATATTTACACGACAAAATCTTGTCTCCTTCAGCCCCTGATGCCACAGGCATGGGTGAAGGGGAACAGGGCTGGGGGACTCTCAGGTGGAGGACATCTTAGTACTCCTGCTTTCTTTGGATACGCTGACTCCCTGACAAGAGAGTGTGAGCGTTCCCATGAGCAGAGGGTAGACTCGCAAGTGTCCCACGTGCAGAGGGTGGACTCGCGAGTGTGGTGCTAAGGGGAGGGCATTCTGAAGCAGGGAAATAACTGGAAGCAAAAAAGGGCCCTCTGTCAAGGGCTGAGCGGGGCCTGCTCTGAAGAGTTCTGATAGGAAGGACAGACGGGGCTGTGTGCAGACCCATCCTCCAGAACGCAGGCACCAGACACAGGGGCTCTGCTCATCACAGGGCAGAGGGCAGAGGTTACAGGGCCAGTCATTCTCAGGATCTTGGTACTAATAAATCTCTGCTTAGTCGAAAAAGAAGCATCTTGCTTATCAACTTCCCCCCACTCGCATTAGATTCCAGCCGATGACCCAGTCTATGTTAGGTGAGATGCCTAAGCTGGGTCTTCAAGTCCCTGGGGGTAGGGGGTGGGGGGGGCCTTTAATCCAGCTCCCTCTGAAGTCTCATCACAATCCCATTAGTCTTTTCTTGGACATTTAGCCACGGCTTCAGGTCGCTATTCCCAAGTCTTGTGGCTACTCCTGCACAGGCCTACGAGCCAAGTAACCCCTGTTTTATTCATCTGTGGTAAATAAAAGTTGCCAAAGGGAAGCAGTGAAGAATTCGAAAACTTTTTTTCCCCACTGCTTTTATTCTGCTCTGTGGCGGTGGGAGCGAAGGATCAGAAGGATCGGGCATGTTCTCGTATTTTAGGTTTCTGCTTACTAGGTCTAAGAACAATGATCACAACAAATCACCTTTCTCCAGTCCTGGCCTGTGCCTGCTCCTCTCCTCCCAGCGGCAGAGGCCATGCTGTCCCAGTCCTGACTCCCCAGACCCCCCAGATTCTCTTTGTTCTGGGCTCTCTTTACCACGTATCACTGCCTGCCCCAGTTTCTCTTCTGCCACCTCCCAAGCCAGTGAAACTTCTCAAGTCACTGTGGGATATTAACACTGAATTTGGGGCTTTTCCCTTGTTGTTTTTCTGTTTCCAGATTAAGCTTTGAATCCACACCTACACAAAATGTGTCCACCTTCTCTACAAAACCTCAAAATTCTGCATTCTTCACCTTTCCCTTAACTAAGAGAAGGAGCGTGTAGTACTGGTAGTCCCCAGTGCCCTCACGTCTACCCAACGGGAAACAGCCCCTCACTCCAGACCCTGTCCAGGTCTCCACGGCTACAGTCCTACTAAAAATGAAAGCTAAGGCCAGGAGACTAGTTCTGCAGGGGAGGAGCCTGTGCATTCAGGCCCTGATGCCTCCCTGACCAGTGGTGAGCACTCACCAGCGCGGGAAACTATGTACCAGGGTCTGATTCTCTAAACATCTGCTAGTGCCCCAGTCTCCAAACCCAGCGGGGTGTGAGGGGAGAGTGAGTGGAAGAACACCCCTCCCTCCTATCTTGGGCAACTAAGGAGTAAATAAAATAGTTGGGGCATTATTTAAGAAAGGAAAGCTCATTTTAGGAAGTTGCTTAAAATGAGGCAAACCAAGCAGTGGAGGCCCCTGGTGATCTGTATTCTCGCCCTGGGTCTGTGGGGTCATCCTGAATCTAAAAAAGATCAGGATGTGGACGAGCTGGATCCTAATCCTAACTTGTTAGAACAACGGTTCATTCTTAACAGGCCATTGTTCTTGGAGCCACCATTGCTCTGTGTCCTCGGAGAAACTGGGTTTGGGCCACTGGGTACCCCCACGAGGTCCCCGGGCATCCCCCACCCACCCCCAGTCCATCCCTGCCCCTCCCCGGCCCTCACCAGGGCGCCGCTGCTCAGCAGAATCATGAAGATGATGAAGGTTTCAAACCAGTTGTGCTCCACGATGAGGAAGCAGGTTTTCCGCAGGATCCACCAGGACTTGCCCAGCCCCTCTTCAATGTTGACCTGGCAGCACTTGAATCGCTGGACACAACCTGGCACCAGCGGGAGAGCAGGTGAGGCCCAGGGAGTGCGCCCTGCCCAGATCCGCCCTCTCCTCCACCTCCCAGACCCTGCCAGTGGCTGCCCCACCACACGTGGGGAGTGGGGCTGAATCAGACGCCCGATTCAGAAATGGAGACGTGGCAGGGCTGAGGCCACCACAAGGCCACCAGGGCAGGGCCCTCTGGGCTTGGGAAGATGTCCTGTAGGGAAGCAGTGAGAGGGAGGAACACAGGGTCATCAGGAGGCAGGTACAGGCCTTTCTAATGGGAGTGTTTGGGCTGATACCAAGGGGAAAAAATAACAAAAGTGGGGCCTCCCTGGTGGCACAAGGGGTTAAGAGATCCCCGGCCGGCCAGGGAGCTACCCACAGGGTGCAGCAGACCTCTCCTGTCTCGCCCGCTGTTCCCCTCAGCAGTGTACTTCATTGGTCTGCCTGTTCTGTTCCCCACTCTGTCTCTGGTGAATCCTCTCACCCGCCGCACCTCTGGCCTACGCCCCAGATCTTGTAGGCATAAATAAATCTTTTAAAAAAATAACAAAAGTATGAGAATAGAAACTTGTTTTTGAAGAAAGCCATGACCCCCTCACCCCACTAACCCTAGCGGAGCTCTGTCTACACGCAGTTCAAGTGCCACATGCGCGCCTCTGCGCCCCCTTCTACCTTCTGTGAAGCAGGCGTCTGGATCCAAGTATTCCTCAGGCTGTTCCACGGGAACTTCTTCTACTTCTGGCTTGATGTCGATGGTACTTCCTTCGGAGGAGCTGGTGTCATCCAGTTTCTAGACACACAAGGAAAGGGGGTGAAGAGGCTCTGGGGTATCGCGGTCCAGCCGCCCTGGCGCCGGCTGCAGTTCCCATCACAGCTCATCATCACCTCCCTCTCAATGGGAGGGCACAGGGCCCTCAAAACTCCTGTCAGGATGGGGTACAACATTACAGCCCACTCCCAGATCCACAGTAAACAGATGTGGTTCCGGGTCAGTCTGAGGGATGTCGCTCCAGCAGACTGGAGCAGGCAAGGGCTCCAGGGTTTACTCCAGCTTCTGGCCTAGAGGGTTCCAGAGCAGTGGAGACAGACCCAGGGATCAAGGGCATCCAGGGGAGGCTGACAACGACAACGGAAGGGAGAGGAGGTGGAGCTGAGCTGGCTATTCCAGAATCGCTCTACCAAGCCCATAGCTCAACCAAGGCCTGGGCTGACAGAGCCTGTTTATTTTCACACAGGGTCAAGACTGGGTTCTAGGCTGGGACCTTACATCTTTGCTGCCATCGGGGTCCGACTCGCTGGTGACATCCTCTGTGTTGACGTTCTCAAAATCAGATTCGCCAACGGCGATGGGGACCCGCACGGTCAGGTTGGGGTTGTTGATGAAGGACATGTGGTCTTCATCAATGATGTACTTCTCCACGCTGCTGCCAATGCCGCTGGTCGTGCCGTTGCCGTTTTTCTGGAAGTCACCATTCCGGTGGATGTCTGCACCGGTGTGGTTGGCAATGCAATTGGCCTTCTTTTCATACAGCTCGTCCAGAGGTTTCACCTCATCAGCCTCCCGCTGCTTGAAGTGCGCCTGCATGAAGGCACGCACCTTCAGTTTGGTCCACGCCACCCCCTTTTTGATGCGGATCACCGAGATCTGCAGATTGTTCATTTCCCCGTCGTCGTCTGTGGCTGCCAGGTTGTCTGCGCTGAAGGAGCTCAGGAGCAAGGCCAGAAACAGGTTCAGCACCTATACCAGGAGCATCAGAGAAAGAAGAATGAATGTAGAATGGTTTTACGGCAAGCTCTCCACTGAGCTAGGGCTGTGAACAGGAAGCCACAGGCTTCTGTGACAGACTCAAGAGCTTCTGTTGTACTTTATTTGGCCCCCAGGGGTCTGAGATGCTCATGCCACGAGGCGGGCATTTTGCTTGGTTTTGGTTGTGATACCGAGTGTGGCATCTCTTCTTGGTTCTTTTGTAGTTTGACCTACTTACATATGTAGCCCAAAACATACTTTTCTTATAACCAGAAAAAGCAATGACTATCCATTCTGGAAAATTCCCCCCAAATGAAAACAAAAAGGCAGGCATGGGTAATTGGGAAGGACTGAAGACTGCACTGATGCTCCAGAGGTGTCTTGGAGAACCCACATTAGGAAATGTTAGGCTTGGAGAACCACACTTTCATGTACTGTATCCCACAGGCAGACCTGAAATATATTTAATGTCATCTTATTTTAAGAGGAATTTTATTTGTTATCCTAACACTTATCAAAACAAAACTGCTTCAAAAGGACAGTGATGTGACTTTGCGTTCCGTTGTACCTCTAGGTGTCAAGCCATCAAATGCAAGCTTATCTATTTTTCTAATTTCCTATTTTACCAAAGGGGCATTAAGATTAATTTTTTTTTTAAGACTTAACTTTTGAAAAGTGGGAGAGATGTTCACTTCTTGATTTACACCTGGCCCTTACTCTGTCACACTTCTGAAGAAGAGCAAGGCACACATCCTAGCTGGAGATGATGGCATGTACGGAGGGGGAGGAACGGAAACAACAGATAAACCTTATGTAGTTGGGTTACCTGGGCCATTTGCAGAACTGAAGAGCAATACGGTTGGTAGAAAGGGGATGAGGTGGAGGGATGAGTTGGAGGGCTGTGGTTGGGAGAGTTCTGAGGGTCAGGCTGAGGGATTTGAGTTTTACTTCATTGGATTCACTTGTTTCTTGACCGGAGTCACAGATGAGACAGACATTAAGAGAGCCATTGTTAGCAGCTGGAGAGACGGTACTAGGAGGGAGGAGGTTGTTACCTGCATGAGGTGATTAGGGTCTCGACTGGGGTATAGTCATCTTTTTTTTTTTTTTTAAAGATTTATTTATTTATTTATTTATTTTTAAGATTTATTTATTTATTTGTACAAGCACTGGGTACAGTCAGAAGCGCGGGAGGGTGAGAGAATTCACCAGAGCCAGAGCGGGGAGCAGAGCAGGCAGAAGGACCGAAGTACACTGCTGAGGGGAGCAGCGGGCGGCAGGAGAGGTCTGCGCGCCATGTGGGACCCTCCTCTGGTGGCCGGGGAGCAGCCGGGGATCGAACTGGCACTGCAGAGGCTGCGGGCAGCTTCGCAACCCAGCGCTCAACCACTGTGCCACTGGGGAGGCCCTGGGGTATGGTCATCTTATCCCTCAGCATGTATAAGACTCTCGTGGGTGGGACACTTGTTAAAATACCTATTTCCTTGGCTTTACCCAAAAGAGATTCTGATTCAGTGGATCTGGTGTGGGACCCTGGGACTTGGTCTTTCATAATGAGTGGACCCTGGGTGAATTGTGATGTCTTAGACCACACTTTTAGAAATACCGGATGGGTTATAGAAATGGAAAAGAAGGGGCAGATTTTAGAAACACTATGAAGAAAGATATAGGAAGAGAAATCCTATAAAGAAACATATGTAAGGTCTCAGATATTTACTGGGGGTGGAGAAAAGAGTCAGAAGAGACAATACAGGTTACTAGACATGAGTGGGGAGAGGCAATGCGTACAGAGAGCCTAGGAAGGCGTCACATCAGGAGCAGAAGCACGAGTTGCTTTTGTCCTGTGCTTTTTGTCATGGGGAGATGTCCTTGAGACAACTGACAATAGGGGACTGCAGCAAGGAGGCCAAGGTCAGGGTTACTAAACGCTGGTTGCATTACATACCAGTAGGTGACAGCTATATTCACTGAAGGAGTGAAAAGCCTAAAGGGGTTAGGACTGAGGAGAAGGTGTCTGGGATGGAGATTGGAGGGATTAAAGAAACATTACAGGGCCTCCCGGGTGGCACAGCGGTTGAGCGCTGGGTTGCAAAGCTGCCCGCAGCCTCTGCAGTGCCGGTTCAATCCCCGGCTGCTCCCGGGCCACCAGGGGAGGGTCCCACATGGCGCGCAGACCTCTCCTGCCGCCCGCTGCTCCCCTCAGCAGTGTGCTTCGGTCCTTCTGCCTGCTCTGCTCCCGGCTCTGGCTCCGGTGAATTCTCTCGCCCTCCCACGCTTCTGACTGTACCCAGTGCTTGTATAAATAAATAAATAAAAATAAATCTTAAAAAAAAACTTAAAAAAAAAAAGAAACATTACAGTATCTATTTTTATAAGTCATGCAGTGGCCATGGCTGGTTCAGAGGCTGGCGAGTAGGAACTTGCTTCTGTATGGCAGGAAAAGGAAAAGAACTAATATGGAAGGGCTCTTTAAGTTAGTCTTCTTCTAGTCCTCCTTGCTTTACACTTATAAGTGGGATTAAGCCTGATCTGAAAGATGGGGACTTAGTAAACTTTAGTATGCATGTGACTCACTTGGAAGTCTTTTTAAAAATGCAGGTTCTGATTCAATAATTCTGGAATGGGGGTTAAGACTGCATTTCTAACACCCTCTCAAGTGATCTTGTTGCTGTTAGTCCTCAGGTCACACATTGAGAAACAAAGTGCTAATATCTCCGTTGGTGAATGTGATAAATACAGAGGCAGAATATAGCAGGCAGACAGGTCACGGTTAAGCAAGAAAGTGATTTGTCATTTACACAAATGAAGTAAAACCCGGAGAGGGTTTAGATCAATGAGTCTCCATGGAGGGCAGTTTTGTCCCCTCGGGGAGAGTTGGCAATATCTGGAGACATTTTTTGCTTGTCACAACTTGGGGGTGGGGGGTGCTACTTGTTAGTGGAGATCAGGGACGCTGGTACACATCCTACAATGCATAGGACAGCCCAAAACAGAGAATTATCTAGCCCAAAATGTCAGCAGTGTCCAGGGTGAGAAAGTCTGGCTTAGATGAAAGAAATTTTTTGTAGTAAAAGAGCAAAGGACCTGAACAGGTGTTTTCCCAAAGTGACTTACAGATAGCCAACAGGTACATGAAAAGATGTTCAACATCACTAATCATAGGGAAATGAAATTAAAACCACAATGAGAGAGCATCCCATATCTGTTAGGGTGGTTGTTATCAAAAAGACAAGAGATAACAGAGATAGCAGAGATGTGGAGAAAAGGGAACCCTTGTGTACTACTGGGAGAATGTAAACTTTTATGGTCACTATGGAAAATAGTATGGAGAGTCCTCAAAAAATTAAAAATAGAACTACCATAAAATTCAGCAATTTCACTTCTGGGTGCTTATCCAAAGGAAATGAAAATACTCACTTGAAAATTCTAAAGCACCCCCATGTTCACTATAGCATTATTTACAACGATGAAAACACAGAAGCAACCCAAGTGTCCATCAATGAATAATTCTATAAAGAAAATATTGCACATACACACAATGGACAATTTTTCAGCCATAGAAAAGAGTGGCACATGACAGCCATATGATTACATTGGTGGACCAAGGAATTATGCTGAGTGAAATAAGTAAGAAAGAGAAAGACAAACACCATATGATTTCACATATATGTGGGATCTAAAACAAACAAATAACCCAAGTCCATAAAGAATAGATTGGTGGCTGCTAGAGGCAGGAGAGGGGGTGGGGTGAAAAGGGTTAAGGAGGTCCAAGGTCCAAATTTCCAGTTATAAAGTAAGTCATGGGAATATAATGCGCAGCATGCTGACTATAGCTAATAATACTGTATTGCATACTTGAAACTTGCTAAGCGAGTTGATCTTGAAATTCCTCATCACAAGAAAAACATGAACTAGACTTATTGTAATCATTTCAAAATATGTACAAATATCAAATAATGATGCTGTATACCTGAAACTAAGATAATGTATACATGTCAGTTATACCGCAAGAAAAAAAATTAAGAAAGGTGGAAGAACACACCCCCCCTCGGAAAAAAAGAGCACAGACTCATATTTTAGACTAATATCTAAAATAAGCTCTAACATTTACCAGATGTGTGTGTGTGACTCTGGGAAAGTCATTTAACTTTGCGAAAGTTTTCTTAACTATGAAAAAGTGTTGGAAGATTGTGGTGTAAATACCAGTAAATACCAGACTGTCAATGCCAGTTTCCTTTCTTTCATTTGTACCTTAGGGTTCTTGGACCAAGAAGGAATAAAACCCAACATAAACAAGGAAGGTAGCAGTAGAAGGACAAAGCAGAAAGGGCTTCTGGGTCAAGGGTAAGATGTTTAGGGCAAAGAACATGAAAGTCTAGAAGTCAGTACTAACCACCAAGTTGCCAATAACCATGACCATCATGAAGACAATGAGGCACATGGCCTGGCCTGCCACCTCCATGCAGTCCCACATGGTCTCGATCCACTCCCCACACAACACTCGAAAGACAATGAGGAAGGAATGAAAGAAGTCATGCATGTGCCAGCGAGGGAGTTCGCAGTCCTGGTTGATCTTGCAGACACACTCTTTGTAGTTCTTTCCGAAGAGTTGCATCCCCACCACGGCGAAGATGAAGACAATAATGGCCAGCACCAGGGTCAGGTTGCCCAGGGCACCCACTGAATTTCCAATAATCTTGATCAGCATGTTCAGGGTGGGCCAGGATTTCGCCAATTTGAAGACTCGCAGCTAAGGAGAAAACCCAAACAAAATCCATATTATACTCAATCCATTTCTTACCCATGGCTAACATAAAAACATAGAGAACTAGCAAGAACAGCTTAAAATGATAGTGCACCCTTGGGACACTCCCAGGACTTTCTGACAATATCTTACCAAACTAAAATAACAAGAGCTGAGCGTTTGAGGGAAAAGTGATCACTTTTCTGGTAAGAGAAAGATTTACAACTAGCAACCAAGAAAACTGCCTCTGTATGAGTTCCTCAGTCAATCTACTTTTTCAAAATTCTGACATGAACATATCTTTCTCCTTCTGATTTTCTCTTGACTTTTCAAGGGATCATACCGATATTCAGAATACAGAATATCTGGTTCTGTTAATCATGCAATGCCTATATTCTGTCATGAATGATTATAAGGTCTTGACTAACAGCCCAAGAATCGTAACATACAAAGCCCGTAAGTGGAATGACAGTGACGAGGTCATCAGATGACGTAAGTTAACAACTAACACACATCAGGAATTCTGGTGTAAGGCAAGCCCTCTATTGTGAACATCGTTTTTCTATTGAAAATTTGAGTCTTACTGGAGAGTATAAAGTTTACCAGGTATCGCTCTATGTGGATATCTGGATTAATTCAGCTTTCCCCCTTTCTGACTCACTTTTAGTTTTTTAAGAATATTAGTGTTACAAGGGACTATGGAGATGGTTCACAGGTGAATTGGTGATGGGAATTTTATGAGGACTACACCTGAGAGGAGAAATATGTATGTATATATACACATACACATATATACGTATATATTAAAAAAATAAATGAATATGATATAGAAAAAAAAAAAAGAATACTAGTGCTAAAGTTTCCTTCACTTAACTCCTTCCTCTCATCTTCTAGATAATATGAATAATTCTTTTAAAAAGCCTATTGTGGGCTGGATTCTAACAAAGCTGCTGAGCAGAGGTTATTTGTGATTGGGCTGAGTGAAATCTCCATTTTACAAATAGTTTCACTCTATTCCAATTTCATTCCTTAGCTATGCTGAATAACCTAACGAAAAAAACCTTAAATCCTTTCAGTTGCAAGTGGTCAAGCATTTCCCAATAGGGAGGGTAGAAACCTAGGCCAGTTCTGAGACTTTATCTGAGTGGGTGCCCTTTGGCTCCCCAAAGAAATACAGCTTCTTTTTTCCTTTTTTTTTAAATACAGCCTCTTAAGAGGTTCCACCAGGGCATCCCTTAGACCTGTGCTTACTGGAAATTATTTTCAGGATATCATTAATTATTCTTTCAGAAACATTTTAGCAATTTAAACACTAATTTCTTCAAAACATTAAAAGAATCCTTAGTATGAAAAGCAAAGCAAGTGTTTTAACAACCAATTTCAATGTAATTAAAAATATATCATTTGATTCTCCTTTTTTGGAAGGAATCACCATGATATAAGATATGGGGAAAGCCATCTTTGAACAAGAAGAAATTCTAGCCATTTCAGGGAGATGTTCAGTCAAGAAACAGGCTTGCTAGTGTACCCAAATTGCACCTTAGTATATATAGCCTTTGGGTGTCCTTTTTCAATGTTTAAATTAACCATTCTTTTTTGAGGAACTTCCTAAAATTTGATTTGTTTGTTGACTGACGCTGCAAAACTAAATTATATTAGGTATTTAGCAGAAAAGTTTCCAAGATATTAGTAGCTAAGCCAATAAATAGTCAACTAGAATGGAAGTAGACTACAGCTAAGGATTTAAAAAAAAAATCATCAAATTAACTTATACAAATTTCTTCCTAGTAGCTGCAAGACAGGAAATGTAAAAAGAAATTGGAGAAACATGGAATACCAATCGGAAAGATCGCAGCACCGAAAGCCCCTCCACGTCTGCTAGACCCAGTTCCATTAAACTGAGGGAGACAATAAATCCGTCAAAAATGTTCCAACCTTCTTGGAAATAATAGTAGGGATCCATGGCTATGAGCTTCAGGAACATTTCCGCTGTGAAAATTCCAGTGAAAACCTAGAGGGGAAAGGGGGGGAGGGGAAGAAAGAGAAATAATAGAGAACGCCTTTATCATCATCTTTGCATACAACATACCCAAGAAGCCTCAAGAACCAGCCTTGGTTAGATTCTGCACGTGAGGCCAGTGACACCCGTCTGTCCCACCGCCACACCCTAGGCTGCAGGAAAACCTTATTTTCTTCTTGGATGAAGTCCTCAGGCCCCAACGATCCTATCTTTGCTGCCAGAACCCAACAATTCACATTATTTAAGGGAGCAGCTGAAAAAATATTCTAAGCAATGGAAACACCACACAGGTAGCTTTTTAAAAAGTTACGTTATGTCACATCAATGTATCTGCTTGGGACATTTGCCTTAAAAAAATACTCATTGTATATCTTCTAATATAGTAAAATTATATTGGAAGATAGAGCCATTATTCCTGTCTTGAGTTATGCGTCTTATCAAACTTGGACATATGCTGCAGGGCTTTATACTTTAAATCATAAAGGCAACAGAACATTCCTGAATTTACACAGATACAGGAAAAGATATCCAGGGTCTCGCCACCTTACAGACAACAGTCATTTTTAAGTATTCCCTTCTGGGTTTTTTCAAATGTATATATATTCTGACATAGAATGTACACAATATCATGGGTCTTATTTTCCAGTTATCATAATTCTATCCGTGTTGCTATACAGTCTTTCTAATTCCCACTTTCACTGCTTGCATAAAATTTGATTGGGTAAATAGACCCTCAAAGAATTTACTTATTGTTTTTATTTTTTCAGTATGATAATAACAGAATTATTTTAGATGTGGAGTTTAATAACTTCTTCCCCATGCTAACTATCTACCACTTTTCTGTTTGACAGAGGCCTTGTGTTCCCCAGTGCCATCTGCAGCATGCAGTCTTGCTAATACAACATGCAGTAAGAAAGGAAAACCATGAATAAAGCCAGTTTTGATGAGACCAATACCCTCACTGTAGATTAACCAGGTTAACACCATACTCTCACTGAATATTGTGATTTTAGACAGGACTTCATACGCAGTAAGTTTGAAACTTTTAATAAATTAGTATTTGTAACCATTTGGCTACCAAATTTACATATGAAGGCGTTTAAGGAATATTTTGAAGATATGGTTTGAGGGCAATTAAGAATAGTAGAAATATTTAGGCTGTTGTTGCTGTTTGGAAATACAGCAAATTAAAGCAAAACAGTACCAACACAGAATGATTAAATGGAAATACATGAAAATGAGTAAGTGGGTTAGACGTTTTGGTGTCCACAATGAGTCCCCTTTATTTGAAAACTGAAAGAAAATATTCCCTGAAGGGATCCAGTTAAACTAACTCAAAGTTCACAGTCAATTTGAACTTGTTGAGCATCTATACAAATGGGACATCACTAACTATCAGTTCAGCTATTGTTTGGAAAGCAACCAACCAAACACACACACACACACCACCACCACCACCAAGAAAAAAAAACCCATCTGGGGCCTCCCTGGTGGCATAGCGGTTGAGCAGCGGTTGAGCTGCCCGCAGCCTCTGCAGCGCCGGTTCAATCCCCGGCCTCCCGGAGGGTCCCACATGGCGCACAGACCTCTCCTGCTGCACCCGCTGCTCCCCTCAGCAGTGTACTTCATCAGTCTGCCTGTTCTGCTCCCTGCTCTGGCTCTGGTGAATCCTCTCACCCTCCCACGCTTCTGACTATACCCGGTGCTTGAATAAATAAATAAATCTTAAAAAAAAAAAAAACCCAGCTGGAATATTCTTATAAGAGAGGTCAGGGAATGCAGAGCAGCTCACTCCTGACACACATTTCACCCTCATTGTAAACCCATCGTATCTCCCCTATGGAGAACATTAGCCTGTGTCATGCACACTAAGTAGAGACTGAATTTGCTGTCCCACTGGCGACCATACAGGGAGTTCTCAGTACTAAGTACTGGCTCATTGGTCCCGGGAACTCCCATCTAAGGAACTCTGGGTCCTGAGAGGAAATCAATGAAGACACAGAGTTGTGTGACCCCACTTTTCAGTGGGGTGAATGGCCCCCAGATGCTAGACAAGAAGGCTAGTGACAGGTCAGCAACCATGTTGTTTCAACACAGAGTGTGCTCTTATCATTTGAGGGAACATAAACTTGTAATATTGGTAATGTGAAGGAGTTACTTTTTTAAAATTGGAGAAGAACAGATTTAAGGTTATCCTTATGATGCCATTCTTACTTGCACTGTATTATGCTTCTTGAGAAGGAAAAAGTATAGGCAATGGATGACAAGCTGAACATAAACACTGCCTTGTGACTGTCATCAAATCGTCCCTTAAGAATTTATATTCTCGAGCCTTCCTGGTGGCACAAGGGGTTAAGCACTGCACTATGAAGCAATGCACAGTCTCTGCAGCATGAGTTTAATCCTTGGCCTGCTGGGGAGCAACCCACATGGCAGGGCAGACCTCTCCTGTCTCGCCCACAGCTCCCCTTAGCAGTGTATTTCAGTCAGTCTGCCTGTTCTGTTCCCCTCTCTGTCTCTGGTGAATCCTCTCACCCCCCGCATATCTGGCCTGTACCCCAGCTCTTGTATGCATAAATAAATAAATCTTAAAAAAAAAAGAATTTATGTTCTAATGCAGCTGTTCTCACGGCATACTTGAGGATCCCCAGGTCCCTAAGAGCCTTTCAACGGACATGAGATCTGTGTGAGGCTGGGCCTTTTTTCTATACTTCAAACCAAACAATATATCACACAGATTGAGTGCAGAAGCAGGTAAGAGAATCTAGCTGTCTCGTATTAAACTAGACATGAAAGCGATTTGCAAAAATATCAAAAGGTGCCCTTAAAATTTTTTTCACATACAATATGCTATTTATGTAATTGTAGAATGGGTATGTTATTGTTATTTTTAAATAAATATTGAAGATTTTTCTCAATTTTAGGACACTGTGGTGCGTATCACATAAGCCAAAATTCTTTAACTCTGTAGGCGTGTAACAGGGTCTCAGACAAAAGGGGCGAGAACGGCAGTCCCAAGAGGATGTTCTGACTCGCCTCAGTGTATCTTTCTAGTTTGGACAGGTTTCTGAGCACAGGCATAGAACCTGTAATGCCACATCACCAAGCAAGGCCCACAGTGTCCTAAAATTGGGGTGTCTACACTGGGGTCATCCTGGGGCTTGGGAAGGATGAGAAGGGCCACATTTCCGTCTGCGTAACACATGTCTGAGCCAATTTGCGGCTTGCATGTTCCTGTCTGTCCTCAGAAATGGGGTTGTGCAGGGGGGGTGCTTTCCCAAAGTTAATGAAACTCATTTTGATAAAAACCCCAAGTCTACCACAATGGAGACAAGAGACCACAGGAGACTATGAGAAGTATCATAACAGCTTCTTAGGAGCTCGGTCAGCTGGGGGCAGGTGACCAAGTAGTCGCTACTCCGCGTTCGCTTGAGTCTTTCCGGATCTTAAGGTTGACAGCCCTCAAGCCTGGGCCTCCAGTTAAGGTGATCATTTTGTACTTGTTTGCCCAGACTGTCCCACTTTTAAAACTGAGAGTTCCGCATCCCAGGAGTCTCCTCAGATCTGTGCAAATTGGAACAGCTGGTTACCCAACCAGAAGGAAACAGACAGAAAAATGAAAATAGCATGTGATAAGTATTTATAAAGAGGTATGCACAGGGGGGCTATGAGGGCACAGATGAAAGAAAAGTGAAAGCATAAAAAGATTTTCTTTCAGTTGCAAATCTCGTTAAAGTGCAGCTTAGAAATAATATTCATGTGTATTTGGTGAATGAGGAAAATTATTTTTTCTTTTTTTGCTTACAATCTCAGAAATTAAAGTTCCATGTCAGGTTATGCTTTGCCTTCCTCCTACCAGACTCAACCCTAAAGCCCTGCCCGCCTGGGAGGGACTGAAGCCAGAGCTGGGGCCCAGAGGGCGCCCCTGGAGGAGGGCTGTGGGGAGTCACACCTGAGAGGGGGTGAGAGTGCTCATGCAGGGGTAGCCCCATATGGGCTGTGAGAGCCTGCGCAGGACAAGGAGGGGTGCCCACTTTGGGGGACAGTCCTGCAGCAGGTGTCAGAGAGTGGGAAGAGCTGGCACAGGGTGTTGAGGCTCGGGGGAGATGGGAGGGTGTCCACATGAAGGGGTGGGGGACCAGGAAGAGAGGTAGAGCTGAAGGGGATGCAGACAGCGTGCTCGGGTGGCGGGCGGGTGGGAGGATGGTCTACTGCAGTGTCAGAGCCTCAGAGGCCTGAAGGTGCCCATACAGCGAGGTGAGGGGTATCAGAGCCAGGCAGGCTGAGGATGTGGCCTGGTCGAGTTGGCCATTGAGCCAGATGAGAAGCTCCAGGGGGAAGGATGGCACATCTGTCTGCTTATCTACCGAAAACACAACTGAACTGGCCTGGCCGTGAGAAGAACATGGCATTCCAGCAGGAAGACAAAGTCTTACCCTGATTCACATACCAGTCAGTCTCCCTTTGTCCCATCCTCTTAGCCTCAGGTTCAGTTGAAGGCTCTATCCAAATCTCAAGTTTTCAAAAATTCTCCTACTGAAATACACTAACACCGCCCCTAAGATCTGTACAGTGCTGGTCACTGTGCCAAAAGCTTCTGTGCAGGTGTTCGCCTCGTCCTCCCAGCCACTGTGACACGGTATTGGCCTCAATTTATAGATGCAGAACATCACTGGCTTATTTCAGGTTAAGTTCTATCATATAGGAACCAAGCCCCACATCTTCCGACCTGGAGTTCTGTGTTCTGGCCAGCTCGGCACTGAGCTGACGGCAGCAGAGGTATCTCTGAGTTTCTGGTTGTCTAGAAAACACTCATGGTGTAAGCTTCCCTGAGGTCCAGCGTTTACCCAACTGCCTGTCTGGAATCTTCATTCAGTAAGCAGATGTCCCACACTTACCGTGTCCAAAACAGAATTCTTTATTTTAAACTCCAGACCTGTTCCTCCTCAGTCAGCTCCACTTTTCCCTCAGGTACTAATCCCCGCATCTAGGTGCCAGCTTTTATTTCCTGCCCTTCACTCTCATATCTCATCCACTGGCCTGCCCACAGTATCCTGAACCAGGAACTCTATCTCTACTAATCATTATTTACTTTTCCCTTGAAAATTCCTGCCCCCCAAAGTGTTTTCTTATTCTAGAACTTTGCTTTCATTGGTTAGTCTCACAGAGTCCCTGAATATTAGCTGCCAACCTTTCCTTTGCTCCTCTTTCTTCATCGATGGCTCTGGGCAGTCTTGACTGCTCACAATGCTAATTCAGGGATGCCCCTAAATGTGTGTAGATTTAGGCCTCCCCTGGTGGCACAGCGGTTGAGCGCTGGGCTGCGAGGCTGTGGGCAGCTTCTGCAGTGCCGGTTCGTTCCCCGGCCGCCGGCGAGGGACCCACCAAAAAAAAAAAAAACTGTGTAGATTTAAGAAAGGGAAAAATAACGTCATTTTCTGACTTTGTTTGGGGGCAAGTCTATTCATGAGAAGGTGAAAAGGCCTCTCAAAATTCCACAGAATTCAAGGACTAATTCTGTAAAATAAAATAAAAACTGAAGAAAACAAAATGTTATAGGGAAACCACTACTATCATCACCAACAATAAAACTGATCAAGTCACTGTTCTTGTTATTTAATCCTTGGCTAATTAAATAAACGTTATCTATATAATCCATATGTCTACACTACATGATATACACTTATATCACTGTGGCTTATATCACTGTGGCTCCATGGCCAAGCCCCTGGGTCAGCCAGTCATATTGAGCTCACCCTCAGGTGCCTTTCAGAGGTGTTGGCCGATTTCCTAGGCAGTCCGTGGGAGTGTCCTATTTCAAGACTCTGAGTGTTTCATCTGGTGGCATCCAGTTTTACAGCACGGCATCGTGCTGTAAAGCAACACGGAATCGTCTTGGATATACACCAGGGAACACAAGGGGCTACAAGGACTAATCAGATAGAGGATCCCCTTTTGCTATGTGTGTTTTCAGAACAGAACTCAAAATTATATTATGAAACTTCAATAGTCTATTAGGATTTAAGGTAGAAACTGCGTGTGTGGGAGGGGGGTGAGGACAAACACTGGTCAGAGATCATACTCAAATTAAGTAACATCTAGATTTGACAAGCTGATGGTGTAACTCCTAAGGAATAATGAGACCCAGCTGACCTATGGGATTCTGCCCAACTAATTCTTTACTAATTCGAACAACTCCTGATTTTTGTACCAAAGAAGTAAAGATTGGGGCCTCCCTGCTGGCGCAGGAGTTAAAGTGTGAGCTCTATCAAGCAATTGCCAGCCACTGAAGCACAAGTTCAATCCCCAGCCAGGGAGCTGACCCACATGGCGAGGCAGACCTCTCCTGACATGCCCGCAGCTCCCCTCAGCAGTGTATTTTGTCAGTGTGCCTGTTCTGTTCCCTGCTCTGTCTCTGGTGAATCCTCTCACCCTCCACACCTCTGGCCTCTACCCCAGCTCTTGTATGCATAAATAAACTAAAAAAAAAAAAAAAGTAAAGATAATCTCCAAATCATGGCTACTTGACTTCAGAAAATACTGAGTAATCTGTTTTCAAAAACTGCACTCATCACTTATACTTAAATAATACATTAAATATATGACTTAAGCTAACATGAAAATAAGTTTGGCACAGAACAACTAATGGCAGAAATGGCAGATGACAGACCAGAAGTTGGACTGGGGGCGGGGGAGATTCAGTCTAGAATTAAAAATTCCCCACAGAGAGTCGTCACATGAATAATTAAGATATGACAGCGAAGGCAAATTTACAGTTACACTCAGGGCACTAAAAGACCTGTCCTCTCTTGTGGTGGCTGTTACTGAAGGCGAAAGGGGATGCAATTTGCTACAACAACGCAGGAATCAACGTGAGAAACAGAATGAGAAAAAAATCCAGAAGTTCTTGGCTCTGGCTCTGAAGCCAAGCCCCGGCACCAGCCTCCCGTTCTGTACCAGGCTGGTTTTCTGCCAGCAGCTCCTAAGTGATGTCTTCCAAGCTCTGCAGGGGAGAAGGGGTTTTGGTGGCCAGGGGGTCACCATAGGGGTCAGTGCGGTCAGCACCAAGGCCTGTGTGGCAGTATTTGTCTTCTAATGAACTGTTACTTTTTTTCCCCAACTAAATCCCAGCTTTCAGTACTAGACAAAGATGTCCTACAGGCAACACATGTTCAGATCATAGCACCAGGGGATGGAGCCCCATCTTACCAGATTTCCTACAGCCAAGACGTGTTCGAACTGCGGCGTCATTGGGTGGTGCTCCATCGCCATAAAGAGTGTGTTCAGGACAATGCAGATGGTGATGGCCAAGTCCACGAAAGGGTCCATAACGATCAAGTTCACAATCTCTTTCAGTTTTATCCAATAGGGGTGACACTCCCAGATGAGGAAGGTGTTGGCAAATTTATACCAGCATGGTGGGCACTTCCTCTGTGACTCCTCCAGTTCTGCAATGAGTAAAGAACACAGGTGGCTCCTCAATCAGAGAGAGAATATGGGCCGGGGGGAGGTCCTACCCTCACTGGGTGGCTATCACTGCTAGTAGCTTGGGAATAAGGAATGGAAGACTGATTTCCCCTCCGTTTTCCTTCTTTTGAAGGGAGACAAGAGGCATGATTATCAGGACCAGGTCGATTTCCTGTTCTTAACGATCTAGTTATAAACCAGACTCAATCCATCCATTTTAAGAATATGAGCATAATGGTTAGGAACTAGGTCTCTGGAGTCTGTTACTGGCTTCCACACCCACCAGTTGTGAGATCTGAGGTAAAGATGGACCCTCTGTGCCTCAGTTCTTCATGTGTGCACTGGGACTTTAGAGGCTCCAGGACTCATCAGGTCTGTAACTCTCACCCACTGAATAAGGGTAACAAGGGTTGATTCATGTAAAGCGGAGAGCATAGAGCCTGGCACATGTCACGTCCTCAATAAACGGCAGGCACTATATTATACATCATGAAATTATTATCAGAGAAGCAGTCAGAGTGTAGACTGACACCAGACATACTTGGACACAAATACCTGCTAACTGTGGGTCCTTAAGCAAAGAACGCCAATTAATTAAATGAGCTAAAATACATAACACGATATGCGATACGTATAAAATAAAGCGCACACACGCGCGTGTGCGCGCACACACACACACACACACACACACACACACACACACACGGTGTTTTGTGCTTCAGAACATCCTCGAATATAGCGGTACGTGCTATAGAAGTATTTGCTATACTGTTTTTTGTCAGCAGAATCAGCACCAGCAACCATTATCGCCTGAAATACGTTTCTTACTCTCTCAGAAGTGCAAGTCACCGAGTGTGCGGTTCATAATTCAGCTGGAATGTAAATCACTTCCTTTCTCCTTCACCGTCTCCTTTACCTTTCTCACCTCTCTTCTCTCCTGTCTTTCTCTTCTTTTTGTCTTCTCTTGTCTCTGTCTCTTTTTTAAGAAACGGAATCTTTTTGTCCTAACAAGATCTTACATGACTTTCAGTATGTAAAACAGATAAATGAGGAATTGCTCTACATGACGCAGGAATCTGGCTTAGCGCCCACCTGATCCACTGCTTTCTTCCCTGAGGTCCTCCCTGAGAATCCTAGCACTGATAAACACAGACTTCAAGTCGCTGGACTAGATGATCTCTCAGGTTCTTCACAAAACAAAGATTAAAAAAGACTCTTAGATACTAACGGTAGAGAGCCACTGTGGCAGCTGCAAAAATCTAGGCATGAGGCCCTATGTAACAAAGCTCTCCTCAAATTAAGTGTGGACTATTGCAGCTAGGATACAAAGGTCCAAGGACTTGATCTAGGAGGATGCTCTTCTATTTTTTTTTAAAGATTTATTTATTTATGCATACAAGAGCTGGGGTACAGGCCAGAGGTGTGTGGAGGGGTGAGACGATTCACCAGAGACAGAGCGGGGAACAAAACAGGCAGACTGACTGAAATATATGGGTGAGGGGAGCAGCAGGCGAGACAGAAGAGGTCTGCTTGCCATGTGGGTTGCTGCGAGGCCGGCCAGGGATCGAACTTGCACTGTGGTGGCTGCGGCAGCTTCATAGGTTGTGTCTTAACCCCTTGCGCCACCAGGGAGGCCCTAGGAGGATGTTCTTTTAAAGGTGTAACTGAAAACCTGCTAGAGGGAAGGTACTGGTTCTACAGGGTCAGATGTCACCACCTTCCACCATCCCTGCCTAATTCTGCTGACAAAATCAAATCATTCAAGGAATACAAAGGAAAGTTTCCCAACATTTCACCAAGGACAAGATGGCTGCCTTAAATTAGTCTACTTTGCCGTTTTTCAACCAGCTGGATGGTGCCCATGGTGATGGCTTTATTTTAGATGGGGTGTTTTGGGTGGGCTTCTGATTGGCTCCCTGGTTGCTAAGAAAATGGTTGCCTTGGTTTTTCAGATTTAAGGGCCACAGTGAGCACCACGTGGGAGTCTGCGTGGGAAAGGAAGTCTGTGAAGAAAATTTGCTTTGGCTTCTTCCTTATAGAACTCCCTCCCCAAGGTAAATTTAGTTTTCTTCCCAAAAAAAGAAAATGAAAAGGTTCTCTTATTTCCATAAATTCTCCTAGTACATATTTGGCAATTTGGTTCCGTTCCTTTTTTCTCTCTCCTCCCTTCTCCAAATGTCTGCTGCTCACCGGCACGCATGGGGGCTGAGGCAGCAACTGCTCACACTCCTGACAGCTGACACAATTGTAATGTTTTACAGTGAACTAGGCTGCACATCTTTGCCAGACAGTGAAGAGGGGTTCCCTTACCCTAGGGGGCACCCAGAAGATCCCCACAGGGATACCAGAGAGCTCTGATGCATGATCACTGTGAAGGGACAACATTCAGGATAGTATTTACTGTTCCATGAAAAGTAATAAGTCCATGAGCTTCAGGAGCTACTTAATTAGGTGAAAGAGTTCCATAAAGATACTGCAACCTGTCACTGGCCCCACATGCCTGGGATGGCTGAGTCTTGGTGTGAGAGAATGGGTTAGTATATGGGGGTGAAAGAAGTTTGTGGGGTTTCTCTTACTTCGCCTCTGGACATTTTCAGAGAAGGCATTGTAGGTGGCAACCTTGGGGATGGTGGAATCGTTTTCAGACAAGGCCTCATAAGTCCATCAAGATGGCAGCACAGACCACGAGTTTCTGAAGGCAGGGGCTTCTCTTAATTCAGCAACTTTCAGGTACCTACAGAGCAGTAGGCACTGGGAATATGAGTTTATAGCCGCACAGGAGAGAGATACTAGTTAAGTAACTGCACTGACGCTTGATGCTTCTCAGTGAAATAAAAGAATAACTAAAACATGGCAGCAATGGTGATGGTCAGCTGCCTCCATAAGTTTTGAAACGGCTTTATCCAAGAATCAATAACACCAAATACTATCACTACTTCATTCTTATTCTACCAGCTCTATTCCCTGCTCCCACAGCTTTTCTGCTTTGAGAAGTGAGACCATACTACTTTCTGCCTATACCTGCGCCTCCAGTCCTCTGAAATACCCCAAAACTTATGGCTCTGCTTTCTGTGCATCTTGCTGAGTCCACTGGGTCCTGGTGAGCATGTGTGGACCAGGATAGGGGGTCGGCAGAACAGGCAGGACTTTCTCATTATTTACAGGATTCTGGAATCCCACTGTGGTTTCTAAACGATTAGGTAGATTGGAGCCTCCTTCTTTGGCTTTAGGAAATAATTATTTTAATCTTTAGATTTTAATCTTTAGATTAAAATGTCAGGGTTTCCTAACTGAACATCTGGGAAGCAGGAACAGTTTTTCATTCCATGCTGGCTTTCAATGGAGTAATCATGAAATACACAGGGACGGGTGATTAAATAGAAATGGATCTTTCTTTATGTCCTTTAACTCCCTCTCACATCATTCAGCTTCAGCCATGCATTGTTCTTTGCTTGTGGTGTCTGGCTCATCAGCTCTAACAAAAGGAGCCAAATACTATGAGAGGGGATAGGAGGGACATCTAAAGACTAGGTGAGCAGGATTTAGAAATAAGGAGTGAAGAGCTTGAAAGACTTTCTACTCAGGAACAGATATCTCCTTCTCCCCTGCAATCTATCCTTGCTATTTCTTTTCTTAAATGTGTTTGAAGACAAGGCTAGCAGGACAGAAAGAAGAAGGTGGGGAATGGGGAGAAGAGAAAGAAAAGGGAATAGAAAAAGACAAAACTAATGTTCCAGTGTTTTCCCTCCAACTCTATAAAGGGGTAAAGGCAACACGGAGATCCAGCAAGGGAACCCAGAAAAGCTCAGCTCAACAAACACGTGTTGAGCATCTACTTCCGCCAGAGCCCGGGCTGGGCACTGCGGTCACCAGCAGGTGGTGGTCGCTTGGCCCTGGCTGTCCCACACTCTGATGTCTTTGCCTGTAATGAAATAGGCCCACTGGGCCTGTTCTGTTCCCCACTCTATCTCTGGTAAATCCTCTCACCCCCTGCTCATCTTTCTCAACTGCCATAGATGCTTAGAGAAATTCTGTCTTGATCTCTGGGTGAAGAATAAAATTAGTCAAGAGACTTTAAGATAGTGTTTCTTGTAAGGAATCCTCAGGACCTGTAGTCATTTACTTACAATCTCAAGTGTTAAAGATATTATATCAGATAATGACTCCAAAGGAAAACAGGAATAAATGAAACTGTTCAGGTGGCTCAAGGTAGTCAGTCCAAAATTCTTTTTACCTGATACATTCTCAAGATGAGTGGGGGTACAGTCTAACTCCAAGGGAGTTCCTATCTAGGGAGTCTCCACAGTTGCCCCTCCCCAGCACATACATGGCCACACAGCACAAGTGGCATTAGGCTTAAATTTCTGAAAAAAAAAAAAGTGTGTCCCCAGGATAAAGGCTCATTTTAAGTCTCCCTATTTTGTGACTACTGATATTGTTGGGTTAGCCTGGGTGCCCGGACTCTGAAGAACAGCAAGCTGATGCCTAAATAATACTTGGGTCTATAATGGAACAACTCAGCTAAGCTGACATGAATCCAGTGAAGGTCTGTGCATAATAAATCTGAATTTTATAAGAGACAATCTCTTGGGCCTCTGTGGTGGCACAACGGATTAAGCACAGCACTGTGAAGCTATCCACCGTCTCTGCAGCAGGAGGTCTATCCTTGGCCAGGGAGCTGACCCACATGGTGCGGCAGACCTCTCCTGTCTTGCCTGCCTGCTGCTCCTCTCAGCAGTGTATTTCAGTCAATCTGCCTGTTCTGTTCCCCACTCTGTTTCTGGTGAATCCTCTCACCTCCTGCATCTGGCCTGCACCCCAGCTCTTATATGCATAAATAAAAATAAAATCTTTTTTTTTTTAAAGAGACACTCTCGTCGCTGAATCTCCCACAGAAAGTCAGAGGAGCCTGGGCAAGAGACCACAACTGGAAAGAAAGACAGCCCTTGCCAGGAGTGGGGGGCGAGCTTCAGTATCAGCTAGCCCCTAGCTAACCCTAGCCAGCCCTCAGCTAACCCCAGCCAGCCCCCAGCACACCAGGCTCTGTCATGGAGGAGCCTGCTACTGAGGCGCTGACAGCAACATTCCTGCAGACAAGCTGTGATTCCAGAGCGCTGCTCTTTCCCTGTGGCAGGGAGCTTACCTATTCACACATCAAATATATTTATGGATTTGTGGGGGTGTTTGAAGAGAGGCAGGATTAAGTGTAATCAAAATGCACAGTACATTTGTCCTTAAGGGAAAACCAAAAGGGCTGTGAGTAGTTAAAAAGGAAAAAAGGAAGGCATGTTTTGGGGGAGAGAACTTGAGGGGGTTTCCATCATTTTCTATCTTCACAGCTCTTCAAGCTGATTCTACTGACTCCTCATGATGATGACTACAGAGACCTCCTGGGACCCTCCAGCTACCTCTCCTGTAGTTCCTTCTTACTTCTTACCTATCTGTGCACAATTCTGCAGCAGCTTTGAAGTTCTTATTTGATTCTCTGCATGCAGATTTGGGAAAAAAGTTATTTGGGATGCTGGCTCTATAACCAGATGCTATTCATAAAGCTCAGTGATAGTTTTGCAAAACTCAGACCACAGGACCGAGATCAGACTTGTGCATACCCCACATGCATATCTCAGCAGCCTGGACTCAAGAGAGGGCACATACCTTCTACTAGTGTATTTGTGACAACACTCAATATACTGTTGATCCTGTCCTTCCGCCCATAGGAGGCCAGCTGGTCCATGGAAACTAAGAGCGATCCAGGGCCTTTTTTCTTAATTTCCACCTCGGTTGTAGTCTAAGGAAAAAAAAAAAAAACAAATTGAGTCAAGTCTTACAAATATAAGCCTGGGCCTTGCTGGGTAGCCCAGAGAGCGAGCAAGAGCATATGCTCTTCAGCACCCCCTTTTCCTTTGATCCTGCCACCCTATTCACCTATCGGAGTAGAAGGGAACACACTGGTCAGGGGGTCCTCCTTAGTTCTGTAGACAAGATCAACTCATTTAAGTTTATGCACATCTATAATAAACCCAGAGTCTGGCTGGAATCAAAGAGCTCATTTGGTCAATTCCAGGCATAGGGGAGGGGCAATGCCATCAACAGCAGACTGAGTTGTCCTGTCCTACTCTCAAATCTATAACATTTGGCTGCGATTGGAGCACATGAGAAAAGAAGTCAAATTAGCCTCTATTTGAAAGGTCATTAAAGGTCAAGTCTTTGATCACATTCAGTGCTATCAATGCCATTTCCGCCAGGTGCAGAACACCATCACTCCACCAAACTGCCTCTTGTGAAGGCCAAGCCTGGGTCTTACAGAATATTACCAAGTTGAACAACGACCCCAAATCTTCTCCAAGTCAGTGTAAGGAAGTATGGACATTTTGTTATCTTATTAAACATACTGCATCATATGTTTATCCTGTCCTTTAAAGTTTTACTTTATAACTTCACCTGAGATGCTCAAATTCTCAACCCAACAAAAAAGACAGAAAACATCATTGGACTATTATACAATGGTAGCTTACAGGTTTCTTAATGTCCCTTGCTTATGTTCTTTGTACTAACCTAAATATTCTACATCAGATCAGGCTTACTGGAGTAGATTAAAACCTTGTTTTCTAGTAAGTATGTGGTCTTCTGTAACACATCATCCATGTGAACTTGGCTGCCCCTTTCATGGTGAAGAAAAGGGCAGAGACAGTTACCATCCTTCAGAGGTCAGGTAGGAAAAGTGCTGCTTCTATTTGATCAGTACCAGAATGATCCTAGCTGTTTTGAAAGGATAATAATTATCTCTGGAGAGCTTTATCAGAAAACCTTTCTGTCCCTATACATGTTCAGACTTAAGAATCACACAGATGACAGTTCCTGGCAGACTATAATTTAACTTATCAGAGTTTCATCAAACTTTCACTGCTTTAGACATTTGGTTCACTTTACAGTTTTGTTTGCTGTGTTTGGTTTGTTTGGAAGAGCTATAGAAGAAATGCAAACCAAAAAGAACCAATTTCTTTGGGAATTCTTTGCTCCATTAGTATACAAACATTTGTATATGTAAGAATGACTTGTTAACCATTGCCTGCGTCCTGAAAATAAATCTTTCTAAAAACGAACACGGAAAGGTCCTATACAATGAGTACTCTTATTTCTGGTGCTTATTGCTTCTAAATTTTTAGTGAGCTGTCCTGCGGTCTACCATAAATGGTAGATAAATTGTATGATGCTAAATCCCAAAGTTCTGTAAGATCTAATGGACCAGCTGACTCATCTAGAAAGGATAAAATTGCATTTAATACAGTTTTGGTACTAAGAATACCTTGCTGCTTTCTGGGCATGCTGGATATAACAAAATATATAAATTCTTCAAACTAGTAATATCAACTGTAAAAAAAAAACAAAACAAATGGAAATGCTGTCTATAAGACTTAGTCAAGTCATTGTCACTTAGTGATACTTAATTGAAAGCTAAGTAACTTTTAGTTTGGATTAAAAAATCCACAAAAGAAAAATTAATTCTTTAATATTAACTTAAGCTGGAACAATTATCACTTATACCTTTCTATGTAAAATGACAGTAAATTAGAACAGGGGCATATGGAGACAACTTCTACAGTATTCATTTATCTATCATTAAATTTTGCCCTATAACATGTGTTATTAGAATTAATATTTTAAACTCTATGAATATATTAAATCCTTTTCCTCTAAAACAAGGATGTTTGCTTTTATCACTTCTACTTTGTATCTGAAGTTCCAGCTAGTGCAAAGACATGAGAAACAAATAAAAGGCATAAAGATTGCAGTTGCTGTTATTCACAGAAAATATTTTACATTTAGAAAATGTAAAATATGGAATTTACAAAAAAGAAAAAAACCTAGTAGAACCAAGATGTTAATTTATCAAGGTCATAATATGCAATGTCATACACAGAAATCAACTCTTATTTCCATATTCTGGAAACAACTATTTGAAAATAAATTTAAAAAGTTATACCTTTCATAGTAGTATCAAAAATATCAAATACCAAGGAATAAATCTAAGGAAGATGTGCAAGATCCCCCACTACAAACTATATGATTTTGCTGAGAGAAACTTAAGAAGACTTAAATAAATGTGGAAATATACCACATTCATAGACTGGAAGACTCAGTGTAATTAAGATGTCCATTTCACCCAAAATTGATCTAAAAATTAAGTATAATCATTATACTAATTCTAGACTTTTTTGAAGAAACTGACAGGATAATTCTAAAATTTATAAGGACATGGAAAGGATCTAGACTAGGAAAAAATCTTTACAAAGTGATCTAGAATAAAAACATAAGCTCTTAAAAGTTTACTTATAACATTTTAAAATATATTCTGTTTGGAGGACTTACACTACCTGTTTCAAGTCTTATTATAAAGTTAAAATAATTAAAACAGATTTAAGTACTGGAATAAACATAGACAAATAGATTAAAGGAACAGAATAGAATCTAGAAATAGATTCACAAAAGCATCAATTGATTTTCACTCACAGCACCAAGTCAGGAAAAACAGAGAAGTGAAAGTCTTTTAACAAACAATGCTGAAAAATTGGAGATATATATATCCAGGTTAAGGTCTATTTAAATTCATAAACAAAAATTAATTTGAGCTGAATCAGAAAACTTAAGGTAAAACCCAAAACTCTAAAGTTTACAAAAAGAAAATATCTTCAACATCTTGGGAATTGGCAATGGTTTTTTGGAAAAGATGCAAAAAACACAATAAAAGAAAAAAACTGTTAATTGGACTTCACCAAAATTAAAAAAAATTATACCTGATAAAGGACTTGTACTCATAACACAAAAGCCAACAAATGAGTACTAAGATGATCGACTCAGTTAAAAATGGGAAAAGCTGTAAACAGACCATTTACAAAAGATATGTGAGAACATATAAGCATATGAAAAAAATGTTCGACAGTCATCAAGTCATTAAAGCACAAAATAACATTCTATATCCACCAAAATGATAACATCCAAGACCAATACACCAAAGGCTGGCCAGGATGTGGAACAACTGGAACTCTAAATACACTGTTGGTGGAGTATAAAAAAATGATGCAACTATTTTGGAGAACTGTTTGGCAGTTTCTTAGAAAGTAAAATATGTATTTGCCATATGACCCAGGAATTTTAGTCAGGTATTTATCCAATGTAAGTGAAAACATTTATCTACAAAATGAGTTCTACAAGAATGCTCTCAACAAACTTATACATACCAGATGCAAACTGGAAAGCACTGGAATGCCTATCAACAGGAAAAAGGATGAACAAATTGGGGTATAAAATGAAACATCAGTAATAAGGACTGAACCACTGATACCCCAAACAACATAAAAGTATCTCCAAAACATCATGTTGAGAGAAAGACGCCAAATAAAATATACATATAGTATGAGTCTACACAGATGAAAGAAAAAGAAGCTACAGTGACACACGTGGTTCCCTGGAGGAGAAACAGGACTGACTTGGAAGGGATATGAGGATACTTTCTGGAAAAGTTCGGAGGTAAGGAGGGGGTTAGTGGGAAAACCTCAAGTAGTCATAGAGCTCCTTTTCCATGCACGTTTTACCCACAACTCTTGGGTGAGGGTTACCCAATTCTGATTGTGCAGTGGAATTCCCTTGAGAAGGGATGTGGCATGCAGACTGTAAACATGTATAAAATGTTAACTGTATCATGGAAATAAACAAGGATCAAACAGTTAAGAAAAGCAAAGGCTATTTATTCTGAGCTTGATAGAATGAGGGAATCAGCAAATGTCACAAGTAGGAAAGCTTTAGAGTGAGCCCTGAGTCAAGGCAGCCTGTGTAGTTGGTTAGGGGAACACATGTGGCATTTTCAGTTGGTCCTAAGGTGGAAGCAGGGACAAAAATTAGTGAAACTGTCAGTTATTAATCAAGTTGGCTATTCTGGAGAAACTGTTAATAGAAATTATTGTTGCATTGTCACTAGAGATAGCAATCTGGCTTCCAGCAAAAGTTTGATTCACAACATTCTGTCTTCCTGGGTTGTTTATGGTAGATAGGGGAGTAGAGGCAGTCTCTCAGCAGTCATTAGATCAGAATGATTAATGGAGAGATGGAGAGTAAACATGACGCATAATGATCACAGGAAGCAATCAAGAACCTTAAGTATGACCTTTGAAAGTTAAACCCTTTACAAATTTTGTTCCATTTTTCTTAACCTGAATGCAAAGTTTATTAGCACATTTAGCTACTGACTTCTAACCTCTTAAATTGTAGCTATCCGTATGAAAGAGATATCCTACATCTGCAGATGGCAGATTCGTTCACATTTCTATAGATCTGTCCAGTAAGCTCAACTTGTTATTGCTTGAAATTACTTCCCCATGGAAATGCAAAACTGGAAATTTATCTGCTAGGTACTGTCATTGGAACTAAAATATAGAGCATTTTAGAAGTGGTCTTAAAGTCTAGTTACTTATCTCCTGTTCAAATCTTCTCAAATCTTCTCAAATTTTTGTAGAGTTCTTTTAATAGTTGTGAAATACATTCTTCTCAGACATAGGATATTTCGAATCTTAGAAGTAGGTCCTGATGTCAAAAATTAAGTTCTGACTAGTTTGGGGTGGGGGTAGAGAATCTTAGGAGGAATCCCACCCTCTCCAAATCAAGAAATTCAGTAGAAAGCCAACTGTCTACTTCTCAGAACTAAAAAAGCTAGAAAAATGTAGAGGAAAAAAAATGGAAACTTTTTCCAAACATCAAGAATGGGTTAAGTATATATTTCACATTTAATAATACTATTATTAATCTTCACAATAGTCACACAATAAAGGTCCTTTGATCTCTTTCATAGGTAAAGAAATGGACTTAGAGAGGTTGATTTTCCAAGATCATAAGTAAAGAACATCGGTTTTAGTTAATACAGCTTATTGGTGAACAGTTAAATACTCTTAGAGTTAGAATGTCTGGATTCAAATCCTAATTCTACTGCTCACTATATGAGCTTGGAAAAGTTGCTTTGTTTCTCTAAGCTTTGGTTTCCTCCTAAGGAAAATACAGACAACAATAGTAACCATTTTATAGAGTCGTGGTTGTAAGGATCAAACGAGATAAATGCAGATGCTCGATTTCTTATTTATGTGTGATATTTGAATCTGGACTGTCAGTGGCACCTGATTTCTTTACGAGTGAAGCCAATGATTCTCACCTACTTCTAGAGCTCAGAGAAGAAGGCATGGCAAACAGTCTCCTTATCCTCTGCTTAGCAAAAAAAGCAAAAGCAAAAATTTCCAACCTATCATAAAAAGACATCAAATTACACGTGAGGAATTAATGAAGATGTGAAATAGCGTCTGATGAGACTTTAATGAAGTGATATCTGGATGTCTTTTTCCTTAGGGAATGGAAAGTTTTAAAACTCTAAGCTTGAAGCAAAAATACAAATATGGCATAACCCAAGCATTCATCTTACGTAAGGTCAATTTCTGGCCTATCATATCTCCTATTCCACTCAGCCGAGCACAAGAAAATAACTGGAAGCATTTCAAACGTTCAGGTGAAGACGAGTTAATCACTGTCTGCAGACACATCCGGATGATTTGGAAGTTGAGAATCACTACAATCTAGTCCAAAGGGGTTTTAATTGCTCTTCTGGCTCAAAATGCATATAATATTATCAATATATTGTATCCTTCTAAGATAAATGACTTCTTTCTATTTTTCCAAGGACTAATATTTAAGTAGTCAAGAAATTTTTTTTGGCATCAGGTCAAGTATGGTTCAAGTTCCATTTCCACAAGATACTAAATTTCTCTCTGAGTCTCATCTGTTAAAACTACCTAATTTTATCCTATTACAGTTGTGAGGATTAAATGAAATCATGTATATAAAATGCTTAGCACAGTGAGTGTAGTGTATTAAGAAATCAATATATGGTAGCTATTACTATTATGTCCACTGAAAAACACTACAAAGAAGAGAAAAATGTAAGGAAGAAAAATATGTCACCAATAACCCCCCTTCCCCCATCCCCAATTCCCCAGTCCAAAGCAAACTACCTTGAACTTGTCAGTCATCCTTTTTCTATACACGGTTTGTCTTTATAAAGTTCTGGTATCCTACTGCACAAATTAGATGCACTTTGGCTGGTTTTGTCTTTTCGGCCTATTAGTATAACTTATACATTTCCCCACCCCACTAACAAGAAGCTTCTTTAAGGCTAATAATGATTTTTTTCCTAGTTAGGAAGCCCTTGGGGATGACACAGTCTCGCTTGCCTCATCTTCCTACCCCTTTGAGACCTGATCTGATACTGAGACTCCTCAGCCTGTCACCATCATCACGTAGGACCACTACAAAAAACTCTAAGTGCTTACAGGGTGTGAGTGCAGGGAAGACCCCTCAGAGGCCCAAAGGCAGACTCTGCAGGATGCTGCAAGGCAGTGTGGAAAGGCTTACATTCCACAACCATCTGCTCCACTGCTTCTAAAATTTTCTCCCACACAGTACAACAGAAGCTGCTAAAAAAACAAAAACAGAGGCCCCAAACCTCCTCATCTGACTTAAGCTGAAGCTGCTTCTTCCTGGTCACCTTTTCGAATACCTTCTCTTCAAGGAAAAAACAAAATGTATTACTTGGCTTAACTATTTTTTTAAAAAAAGATTTATTTATTTTTATACAAGAGCTGGGGTACAGGCCAGAGGCACAGGAGGGTAAGAGGATTCACCAGAGAAAGAGCAGGGAGCAGAACAGGCAGACTGACGAAATACACTGCTGAGCGGTGGGTGCGACAGGAGAGGTCTGTTGTGCCATGTGGGAATCTCCCTGGCCAGCTGGACTGTGGACAGCTTCACAGCGCTGTGCTCAACCCGCAGCGCCACCAGGGAGGCCCTTGGCTTAACTATTTTTAAATACTGCCAGGACATCAAAATTTAATTTGGTTTTCGACATTTCAGTTGCCCCAACTGTACCGCCCAAGCTGACCTGACCCCCATTTTTCACTGAAACCACCTCTTGTTTTTTCAGAGAATAACTTCCTACCTAACTGTGGAGTCCAAAATTTCCCTCTAGTTAAAGAATTAGTGAAACATCATATAAAAATTGAATTTAAAGAAAATCACATAAAACATTTATTTTGGCTGACTATCAGGTTTTAGGGAGACTGTGGAACCACTGTTTGTTATTATTGTTCTTATTGTTGACCTTAAAAAAGCAGTTCTTGGGCCGCCCTGGTGGCGCAAGGGGTTAAGACGCAACCTATGAAGCAATCCACAGCCTCTGCAGCACAAGTTCGATCCCCGGCTGGCCAGGGAGTGACCCACATGGAGCAGCAGACCTCTCCTGTCTCGCCCGCTGCTCCCCTCAGCAGTGTATTTCATTCAATCCGCCTATTCTGTTCCCCTCTCTGACTCTAGTGAATCCTCTCAACCCCCACACCTCTGGCCTGTACCCCAGCTCTTGTATGCATAAATAAAATAAATCTTTAAAAAAAAAAAGCAGTTCTCCAGGAGAGCGATGGCCATGTAATTACGCAATGAAGACATTAAAATTAACTGAGGAAAAAAAGATGGAGGCTCTAAGTCTCAGGCTAAGGCTAAGGCCTAAGGCTCTGACTGTATCACTGACAAACGGAGAGACCTCAAGGTCACGCATCCCTGAGCATCGCGCCTCCAGCTTGAAAACAGGAAAAATCTCTGTTATTAGCCTGAAGAAATACTGAACCTGAACCTGATTGAAATAATACATGTAAAATTTATCTGTAGCTTGTAAAGAGCTATAAAAACATAACAGGGAAAGTATTTTGCTTTTAAATAAAATAGCAGGGGGAAAAAAAGACAATCTCCATCACATCCGACTGCCTTCTGAGTTTCTCCCTGTATAGTCAACAACTATGCAAAAAGGCTAAAATCCAGAGCATTCTGGATCATGTCACCCTTGGGTGTCCCGTTTTCCTCCGTGCATGCACCATGTTAATTAAAGGGCCGCTACCTTCATGCTATCAGAGGAGACTGATGTCAGAACAGCCTGACACGCTATCTCCATTACTCCACCTCTGGCCGGGCTGAGGAAAGTCAAGGAATTAGAGGCAGCAAGAACTAGGATCACTGAGGTCATTAGACTTTAAAACTAGAAAAGAGGTCTACACAGCTTAGAATTTAGCGAAATGCCAAGAGACAGCTTTTCCCAAAGAGGGGAGGCCATGATCCAGACCCTCAGACGCCTGATTTTGCGCAGCTATTATATGTGACTCCTCCAGAGCCTGACGTCTGATCACATTTAAAATTCATTTTTTGCTTCTCTTTCCCTTCCTCCCCCACACACCATGTGTTCTTGCCCCACCTCCTACTTTCCCTCCTTTGATTTCTTTCCAGTCAGAGCCTTGACAGTCCTTTGGTCAGCATACTCTCTGACCTCCCCCTGCGCTCTCTGGGCGCCATCGCCCCATCCTGACACCAAGCTTGCGGGGTCCTCTTTGGAAATTCACACCTCATCCTTAGGAGAAGACTTAGGAAATCGCTGCAAGCTGTATTACTCTTATTTACTAGGCAGATAAGGACTTTTAAATCCCAAGCTGTTTCCCTAGAAGGGAGAGAAGCAATGGCGGTTCCAGGCCCGCTGCTGGGGTCTGCAGGCCGGGGCTTTGGGCCGGTGGCGGGAGGGGCACAGAGGGGCAGGAGGGGTGCAGAGGGGCAGGAGGGGCGCAGAGGGGCAGGAGGGGCGCAGAGGGGCAGGGAGGGGCGCAGAGGGGCAGGGAGGGGCTCAGAAGGGCAGGGAGGGGTGCAGAGGGGCAGGAGGGGCGCAGAGGGGCAGGAGGGGCGCAGAAGGGAAGGGAGGGGTGCAGAAGGGCAGGGAGGGGCGCAGAGGGGCAGGGAGGGGCGCAGAGGGGCAGGAGGGGTGCAGAAGGGCAGGGAGGGGCGCAGAGGGGCAGGGAGGGGCGCAGAGGGGCAGGAGGGGCGCAGAGGGACAGGGAGGGGCGCAGAGGGGCAGGGAGGGGCTCAGAAGGGCAGGGAGGGGTGCAGAGGGGCAGGGAGGGATGCAGAAGGGCAGGGAGGGGCGTAGAGGGGCAGGAGGGGCGCAGAGGGGCAGGAGGGGCGCAGAGGGGCAAGAGGGGCGCAGAGGGACAGGGAGGGGCATGCGGAGCTGGAGAGAAAGAAAAGGGGTAAAATAAGGGAAGGACTCGATGGGGAAGGGGACGGCCAGAAGCGAGGAAGGACGGTGGGCAAGTGGGGTGAGTGATACAGGGGGAAAGGGGCGGGGCACGGGGAGAAGCGAGGTCTGGGGAGGGGCCGGGAGGCGCCCCCCCCCCCCCCCCCCCCGCAGGTGCGCGCCCCCCGCAGCCTTCGGCGTGTTCACCTCTGGCAGGAGGCGCCCGCCGATGTGCGGCCCGGGGCCCCCGATGAGCGACACCACGCCGTTGCAGTCCACCGTGCTGTTGCGCTTGACGCTGCGCCGCAGGCTGGGGAAGATGCGCGACGAGCGGCTGCCCTGGCTGTAGCCGCTGTAGCCGCTGTAGCTGCTGCGGCGCTCGCGCGCGCGGATGGGGATGAAGAGCGAGTCGCGCCGGCCCTCGCTCTCCTCCACCGTGCTGTGCTCGTCGTCCGCGAACTCGTTCTCCGAGCCCGGGTCCCGGAACCGGCCCGGCCCGCGGAAGCTGAAGATGCTGCTCTTGCTGTTGTGGCGCGAGAGGAACGGCGAGCCCGGGATGCTGAGCAGGGACTGCAGGGGAGAGAGGGGGACAGGTCAGGCCGGCGCGCCCCCGGCATGCCCGGCCGAGCCCAGAAAGCGCTTCTGGAGGCCGGATTCCGACTGCTGCTTACCACCCATCACCGCTCACTTTTTATTATTATTATTATATTATTATTATTTTGCTGCCCATGGCCTCAGGTGTGCGGCCTTGGCAGCCAACCAGCCATTCCCAAATGCCCCTCCCTGCTCGTGCACGCACTGGAAAGACGCTTCATCTGCTGCCCTGGGTCGCTCATCCCCTAGTGACTACATCAGTCCCCATTCCTTGGGGTTATGCGCTCACATGGGCCAGTACTTCAATTTTATTAAGTTAAATTAAACTGTTAATTTGCCCACACTTGGCAAAAGAGCAGAGAATTTAAAAAGGGCAACGTCTCTTTCATCCTTTCAATGAGGACGTGCCCAAGAGGTGGTCTTCAAACTGTGCCAACAGTGGTCTTCAAACTTTTTTGCTCAGTTGAAAATTATATATGTCCCCTGCTCCATTTTAAAGTCAACCTGATTTTTTGTTTTGAAATGTTTAAATATTTATAAATTACGTAATTCCAAGCACTGACATTTTTAAATAAAATTCTTCTTCACCATTTAATATTTTTTCTCATTTTTCTCCTTCAATTCATACTTCCATTAAATGTTTCCTCGAGAATTTTATGCTAATATGTATTTTTATGGTTTAATGTATTGCACGGACCACTTTTGAATACTTTTCTTGAATATACAAACATACATTTAATTACTAAGCTTAAAAAGAAGACTTTATACAAAATCAATATACAAGTCTGTTGCTCTCCTACATGTATATAATGAACTGGAATAGAAGGAAATGAAGAAAAGAATCCTACTTACAGTAGCATTAAAAAATATTAACAGCCTAGGAATAAACCTAACAAAGGAGGTGAAAGATCTATTCAACAAAAACTGTAATACATCATTAAAATACTTTAATGCATCATTAAAAGAAATAGAAGGCACAGTTAATATATAACAAAGAAGCCAAGAGTATACAATGCAGAAAGGAAACAAATGGTGCTGGAAAAACTGGAGAAGCACAAGCAGAAAACTGAACCTAGATTACTCTCTCATGCCAAACACAAAAATTAACTCAAAATGGATTAAAGACTTGGATGCAAGACCAGAAACCATAAAACACATCGAAGAAAACACAGGCAAAACACTCCATGACAGTGGCTTCAGTGATGCCTTCCGGGACTTGACTCCAATGGCAAGGAAAAACAAAAACAAAAATAAATGGATGGGATGACATCAAACTATAAAGCTACTATCACAGTACTAAAGAAACGATCAATAAAACAGAAAGACATACTACTGAGTGGGAGAAAATATTTGTACAGCATACATCTGACAAGGGGTTAATATCCAAGATCTACAAAGAACTAATAAAATTCAACAAAAAGAAAACAAAAAACAAAAAAACAAAAAAAAATTGGCAGAAGAGATGGACACTTCTCCAAGAGGAGATACAGATGGACATCAGGTACATGAAAAATGTTCAACATACTTATCATCAGAGAACTGAGAATCAAAATCATAATGAGAGAGAGAGACGAGAAGGACCAACATGTTGGTGAGGATGTGAAGAAAAAGGAATCCACGTACACTGTTTGTGGAATACAGACTGGTTAAGCAGCTATGGAAAACAGTATAGAGGCTTCTCAAAATATTAAAAATAGATCTACCCTATGATCCAGCAAGTCGATACCTAGGTATCTACTGAAGAATATGAAAGTGCTAAATCAAGGAATGCACACACCCCTGTGTTCACTGCAGCACTAGCTCAATGGCCACGCTACAGAAACAACCTAAGTGCCCAGCACTAGAGCAGAGGATTAACCACATGATGGGATACTACTCAGCTGCCCAAACAGATGAAATCTTGCCATTTGCAATAATACAGATGGAACTGGAGGGTGTATGGTAAGTGAAATAAGTCAGAAGGAGAAAGACAAATATTGGATGATTTTACTTACATGTGGAATATACAGAAACAAAACAAGGAACTGACAAAACAAAGCCTAGAAATGTAACTGCAGAAGGGAGGCCATTAAAGGGTAGGAGCAAAGTGAGGTGGGGTGCAATGGTCTGTTGTCAAGGACTTTGGTGGTGGGGTGGTGACATACATCTGAGGAGGTGCTGTCATATTCCCCTAAATCTTATATAGTGTTGTAAACCAGTGTTACCTCAGTGAATGAATGAATGACTGTAACACGGTTATACAATTATTAAAAAAAAGAAAAAAATTTAAGTTTCTCTTTTAATGAGATGAATGAGTTTTTTTAAATTGGTGTTTTCATGTTTAAATGCTTACAGATAGTATTTAGTATTAGAATTAGACATGGTTCAACATCAGTCTCTCCCCCACCCCTTTTCTAATATTAGATTTTAAATGCCGAGAACCCTACTCATGTAAATAGCATGTTGGAACAAAATAATTTGGTTATAGTAACGTTACTCAATTCTTTGAACTCCTTCCAAATAATCTGCCAAAATCACATGGTCAGCTATCAGCAAAATTTATTTTAATGATCTATCAGCTGAAATAGGTCTTGTTTCAATTTTGTTGAAAGCAAAGAGCTTAAAAACTACCCAGTTTGCTAAAGTATTTATTACCTAATAGTTAGAGGTAATGCATTTATTAATTTCTGAGGCTACCTGAAAAGTTATACTATTTATTAATAATTATATGGGATTATTCTTATAGGTGTTACTCTTAAACTTAACTAAAAAAGGAAAGATTGGATAATCAAATATGTTAATTGCTATATATCATTGCAAATATTTATTTTTAATAAAATGATTTTCTTATCACATTATCTCTTTGTACATAGTAGATACAATGTTTATTTTAATTATCATGTTTTTAGCTGAGCCACCCACCCACCTCATTTGCCCCATATCTCCACTGGTCACTGCCTCATTTCTCATAGCAAGTTTCCCTGGATTGAAGCCATGGTTTCGTGCCAGGCCAAGGCTGGATGCTGACATTACCTGGCATTTGAGGTCTGCATATTAGGAAAGAGGTTTGATTTACTTGACAAATGATCATCAAATACCTACTGTGTGCTAAGTGATGAGGATATAGAAATAAACACTACATGGTTTCTGCCCTCTTGGAACTGTGGTCTAGTGGGAAATAGAAGTACTAATGAATATTTACACCAGACTGTTCTTAACCTTAAGGAAAGTGTTAAGGAAGATAGGAAAGTAGTAAGGAAGATAAAGATCAATTCAGTGACCTGAATTAAACTCTTAGAAATCAGGATCCTGAGATAATACATACTAAAAGGAAACAATTTATCTTTTGTTCCTTAATTCCTCGTTCTACTTTTGGCAAAACAGTTGACTCTGTGGGAGGGGAAAAGATTATCTGACCCATTTCTCTCTGTGCCCAGCATCCAATCCTTAGCCCCTTGCCTGAGGAGATACATTCTGACCAGTTTCCAGGCTCAGAATCCTGCCTCCATTAACTCCTGGGGTCAAGGCTAGTTTATGGGATGAGGAGACTTTATGCCCTGTTTTCAAAATCTCTCCTATCAACCCACAGGAGCTTCTGGTTCTTTTCAGGCAACTATGTCACACCTAACAAAAAAATACTACCTTAGGTCTTAGTGTCTGCTTAGGAGAATGGCTCTGAGTGTTCTCGAGTTCGGGGACTGGTGAGCACAGCCCACAGAAAAATTAACTGGGGGTTTCAGGGCATCCGTGCCAGCTCTCTATTGGGATGAGGCTTAACAATTCTGGGACATTTATAATGTGATAAATTGGTGATTTTGAATATTCTATTTCTGTGCTGTTTTTTACTTCAGCACTGGTTCCTTGAGCACAGTCTAGGGACTCTTGGGCATCCCTGTGACCCTATTAGAGGATCCATGAGGTAAAACTACTTTATAACAACATTTTCTCACAAGTGTACCGTGGGTGCCATGAGCCTGTCAGTTTCATAATCTCTCAAGACTTTTCTGGTAAGACTAGAGGTGATTATGAAAGTGACTTTTGAATATTGTGTCAGTATTTTAAACTCAGTGAACCAATATTTCCCAAATAATCAATGCACAATGCTACAAATCATTCATGAGTTAAAGAAACATGGTGAAAAACAGAGCAAAAGTTTTGAACATAACAGAGATGAAATCACTGATGTAGTTTTCAGATTTATATCTCAAGTAACCATCAAAAATCTACCTCTGTCAAGTTTCAGAATAGCAGCAAAGAAGACTCACAATTATCTGAAAAGGCTATTAAAATAGTCCTTCCTTTTCTAACCACTTCTGTGTGAAATGAGATTTTCTTTCTACTTCATCCAAAAGAACACATAGCAAAAGCAGGTATGCTATTCCAGCTGTCTTCTGAGAAAATCTAAACAATAATACTTTACCCACTATTTTTTTTGTTTGAAAATTTATATAATTTGTGTTCAACATGTAAGCAGGTCTATCACTATTTTAAAATGAATTAGTAAACAAATATTTTAAAATTCCTGTCCCCACACCCCACTGTGCTTACTGAGGTAAAGGAGGTTTACATTGTTATTTGCTCTGGGGGTTTTAGGTTCAAACCTCTACAAATGTATACTTTCACACCCCGCCCACCATCAGCACCCCAACAATCCTCCACCATGTTCCACTGGGCCCCTTCTTTTTCCTAACTTAATTATAATTTCTAAAATGATAAATCAAAAGCACATTTTAAAACAGCTCTTTGGAATGCTCAGTAACTTTGAAAGATATGAAGAGGTCCTCAGATCAAAAATTTTAATAGCTATTGTAATAAAATAATTAAAATACTTCCACAAAAATGGACTCAGTCTAGTATTTGTAAACTGTCCTAACCCCTATAAGAACAGTAATAATTCTACAGAAAACTGGGTAGGAGATGCAGGTTGAGCAGGAAATGACTCAAGATGACCTCAGAAGATCTGGCAATAAAGGAAACCACATGCACTGGACTATGGCGTGGGAGACTGAAGCCGCACTGATGATCAGGCCGAGAGAGGGGTGGGTGGTACTGACTGTGTGTAGGAACACAGCCTCTTCAGAAGATCTCAGATTCAAGTTTTGGCTCTACCACCCACTAGCTATATAACCCGGGGTGAGTTAGCGTGTCTCCCTAGCCTCAGTTTCCTCAGCCATTCTTTAGACAAAACTAGAAAAAGTGCAAGAGAGTCGTGGGACAAAAAGCATTACCGCCGCATGTATGGGGTTTGGAAGCAAGTCTCGGCAGCGAGCCCTGGTGTCTAGGAACCTACAATCTCTATTCAGATGGGAAATCAGAGGAAGTGGACATTTTCATGCAAAGCAGGACATCTCAGAAGCCTAATTTTATTTTTTGAGCGAGGGAGCAATCAGCACAACTCTGTGCTAAAGGCTACAGATTAATCAGAGGCCATTCTCCAGCAAAGTGTCAACGGCAGGAAGGTGCTCATTAACTAGCTCTGCGATGGCTCTCCAGACACAGCTTGCATTACAACAGAGTGGCAATTGCTCCTTCCCCAAGAAGGCTGAGATGAGAAAGGTGAGGTGAAGTGGGAGAGAGATGGCTTATTTAGGCAGTAAATAAGTCCTAGAAGGGGCTACCATCAGATGTATAAAAGTCCTCTCCACTCATTTGTCCAACAGGTATCTGGGAGCTAGCCACGTGCAAGGAGCAGTTCTCGTCTAAAAGAGAAACATAAGCACATAGAATAGCACAGAGTAAAATGCAGCACGCCATGAGGTACATATAAAACATAAAGAAATGTCCATTGATTCTTTCTCATTGGAACAAGGATGGAATGGGTAGGTCAGCGAAGCTTTCTTGAGAGACGCATGTGAAGAATAAATGTGATGTGGCTATCCAGAGATGGACAACAGGGCATCTTAGAGAGCGCGTTTCTGGAGCAAAACAGCATAGAAAACAAGTATCACTATGAGAAGCATGTAGTAGTTGATTCTGGCTTAAGGACAGGGTGTTCGATGGGCACAGTGACTAGAGGTTAGAAGGGCAGGCTGTCCAGGGGAGTAGGGTGCCGTGAAGTCCTCGCTGCAGAGCTGGGCCTTCCTAGTAAGCAGGGGAGTCCCCTCCCCATTCTTTGTCACTATCTAAACTGACTATATTTACCGAAAACTAGAGACTGCCAAGTGTTCCTTCTTCAACTCCCTACTTTTTACTATACACCTTTTCATATCCATCCTCCTGTGCTTTCCTGACATTTGGGGGAACAAGGTGCCCCCTTCCTGTTAGAGACTATATCTCACAAGTTCTAAGACTGTATTCTATTATTTTATGCCATTTTTTTTACCTTCATTCCCCCCACAGATTTTAAAAATGTGAATTTTCATCCGTACTCATTTAAATAAGCTCGGCTGTGGAGTCTCTGCCCATTCCCTCTACCTGCTGCTCACTGTGGCGCCACCCGCACACGCATCCCGAGATGGGATGGGTCTGTAATGTTCTTGGTGCTTTGGCCGGCTAGACCCAGTGCTGACTTCCCGAAGCATCTCTTCTGGATTCTTTTAGCACCACTAGTGACATCTCCCCTGTTCTCCATCAAGAGTCCATCTCTGATGTCCGTGAACACTGACCGCCACATCCTGGCCCACTGTTCCTTCACCTGACACATCGTCTCATTGCTGGCTTCAGTCACCAGCTCTCAGCTCAGGGCCAACTTCTTGTGTTGTCATTTAACTATTTGTGTTGAAAAGACCTCTCTACTTGGGTAGGTGTCCTATGAGACCCCCAAAATATATTGTGTGATAATATTTCTAGTAATAGAATAGCCTCCAATTATTCCTAAATCCTCTTTCCTCTCTTTCTCTTAGTCTCCCCTTTTCACTGAAGTTGGGTAAAACGTTCAAACTACCATAGGTTAATTTACCAGCATGGCGCTATATACTAGAACTAGCCACACTCAAAAAAGGTGACCTGTAGAGTCTCATGACTTCATAAACCTACAGTTATACACACTTCTTTAAGAGAGACATTTGAATTAAATCTGATGTCCGGGTGCTAAAAGAGAGAAGTTCTTTCTGGTGTCTCAAAACCCAAGGCCAGCTGGAGTCACACAGACGTCACTGCCGAAGCAAGTCTGCTGGAGGTGACCACTGTCCTAGGACTGGCTCCAGAGCAGAGCAGGGAGGGCAGCATTTGACCAGAAGAAGCCCCCAATACTCTAGCAATGCTTTCTCCTAGAGGAGGACAATAAGGAGCCAGGACAGGACTGAGGATGTAGAGAGGGGCCTGGAAAATGCGAAGCAAGGGGGAATGTGAGAAGCAAGTAGGGTTAGGAAAACCAGCATTTCTTAGGTTCACCTGACCCAGCAGAGTTTACCTGATTCATGATGGAAAATTTCCTTCCTATCCTGTTGTCTGGCAGCCGAAAGCCCTTCCTTCTCATGCCGTCTTCGGATTCTGACTTAAACACCTTCTCAGGATCTCCTTTCTCCTCTCCTTCAGAGAGTTCCTTTTGCTTCTTCTTCTTTCTCCGGTTACGTCTTTCCTTGGCACTCTTGGAGCTGAGTTTAGAAATTTCAGATGAGCTCCGAGGAGAGCCTACCCCTTCTTCACCCTCCTCCTCTATGGCGTCTTCTGAGACAGTTCCCGCTGAAGTGGCCATGGCGGCAGCCTGGAAAGGAGCCAGAGCAACAGACCAGGTCAGGAGCAAGAAACAGGTCATTTCCTTTCCCTCATACAAGGGAGAGGGAAGAAAGGAGAAGGAAAACCAGCCTGTCTGAGGAGACAGAGGCCAGGGCCCGGCTCCCCCACGTCAGGTCCCCCTGTGTGGTAGCACACACCCCAAAGTGACTAGAGAGAGCCAAGTGGCAAAGAACTTGGGATTTATTTTCTTGAGCATCTCAGATGAGAGCTCGGCTACCTTCTTGGTACCAAAGCCTCCTCTCTGGGCAACTCTGAAAATGGATGCTAAGAAACAGCATTTCACAGCCCGGGCTCAACAGTGGAAAAAATACATGTATATTTGATAAGATTAGAAAGTAAAGAATTACAGTAGTGTGGTCACAAGTTTATTTTTTAAATTTTACTTTAATATTTGGCCTTTGTATGTTCCTTTCAATTAAAATCAATACTTTTTTTTTTTTAAGATTTATTTATTTATTTATACAAGCATTGAGTGCAGTCAGAAGCGTGGGAGGGTGAGAGGATTCACCAGAGCCAGAGTGGGGAACAAATCAGGCAGACCGACGAAATACACTGCTGAGGGGAGCAGCAGGCGGCAGGAGAGGTCTGTGCGCCATGTGGGACCCTCGTCGGTGGCCGGGGATGGAACCGGCGCTGCAGAGGCTGCGGGCAGCTTCGCAGCCCAGCGCTCAACCGCTGCGCCACCAGGGGAGGCCCTAAAATCAATACTTTTTATGACCATAAAGAAACTCTAAAGGAGATGCTGTTTCCTTCAATTAAAGGGCTGTGCTTACACGAAGCACTAGCTAAATTGCTCTGACCACTGTTTTCATCCTGGTCATCTTAGCAGTTGAACAGGTGAGAAATTCAACCGAAGACCTTATTAACAAATAATCTGGTCATTAACAAAAATAGAATAATTGGTTCAACCATCTGTTTTTGTAATATGTATTATTTTTATCAGATCGATGACTTCTGCTTGACAATGTGCCTTGAAAAGATCAAGTGGAGTGAGTGCTGACCAGGTGGGACCTTGGTCTGGCGATCTGGCAGGAAGGCCTATTGCAAAGACCTGATTACCCACCTGTGCCTCTTCCTGTTGCTTCTTAAGTTGCTCCAACATTGCTTTGAACTCAGCCTCTTTTTGCTCTGCCTCTTCCAGAGTGGCCTGATTCTGTTCTTCATAGGCCATGGCCACCACAGCCAAGATCAAGTTCACCAGGTAGAAAGAACCCACAAAGATGACCAAGACGAAGAAGATCATGTATGTCTTCCCAGCTGCCCGTAAGGTCTGGAAAGACAAAGACCAAGTTCTTGCATCAGATGAACCAGGCTAAAAATAAGTCATGGGCTGATTTTCCTTTGTAGGGGGACTAAAGCATTTTGATCAGGACAGTCCTTCCTTGTGTGATGTCTTCATCCTGAACAGCATTTAGCATCCCCTATTATGGCCAAGGGCCTCCCCATCCTTAACTCACAGGAGACATTAGCAGGACCTCCCACTTGCTGAGGACAATGTTCTTCTAGTTACAAGTATTCCCGATACGCCCCTTTCATAAAGAAGCTTGTTTTGTTTATTTTTAATGGAAAACATGCTCTGGATCAAGAATTATATTTGACTTTGTGGTTGGTTCTAAAACAAGAATAAAGAAAAGAATACAAGACAATTCAGCTCATTCATCTACTAGCTCTCAAAGAACACTAATGGAAATATTCCACCTTTGGACCGGGCCCAAGTCACAGGAATTTCCCATCTTCAGTGATAACCTTCCTTATTCTTTTGTATTAGGCTGTATTTTTTTTTTAATAGAGGCATGTTTTTATTTATTTATTTGTTTGTTTGTTTGTTTATACAAGCACTGGGTACAGTCAGAAGCGCGGGAGGGTGAGAGAATTCACCAGAGCCAGAGCGGGGAGCAGAGTAGATAGAAGGACCAAAGCACACTGCTGAGGGGAGCAGCGGGTGGCAGGAGAGGTCTGCGCGCCATGCGGGACCCTCCTCCGGTGGCCGGGGAGCAGCTGGGGATCGAACCGGCGCCGCAGAGGCCACGGGCAGCTTCGCAACCCAGCGCTCAACTGCTGCGCCACCGGGGAGTAGGCTGTATTTTAAAAGAGGGATATGATGTAAGGAGGGTGGGGAAACAGGGAAAGGAAGCAGAATCCTAAAACTAACCACTAACAGTGAGCAAACAGACATAGAAAAATTGGGTTTCAGGTTATGTAACTATTGCTTAATTTTCATCTTTATTCTTTTCAATCACAAATATTTAAGGTAAACTAGCATCAACCCCAAATATTTCATGAGAAACATTTGAACCTGAGAGAACTCTGGGCTCCAAAGAAAAGAGAATTCACTGGTGGAACTGAATTAGAAGTTTCTCTTGAAGAGGAGGACTTGTTTTTCATTCTTAAACTCACTGGCATCAACAAATGCCAGAGTCAAACAGAAAACAGAATCTCTAAGTTGGAAGATTATTAACAACCAACCAGAGTAACTTCTCCATCACAGCTAGCAAAGCTGAATTATTTGCCTAGGGTCACTAATGTAGTCTAAACATAACTGTATTTTTATCTCTCTTAACCTGCTTGAACAAGTCCAAATGTGTCACAAATCTAAAAAATGTTGAGTTATTTAGACTCCAAAATCATTATGGATAGAAATCTTATCTTTCTAATGTCTGACACGGTGCCTCGCACAATATGTTTTACTAACATTTCTTCAAATGATGTCAAAGACCAAAAATTCAAAAGAAGTAGTGCAGATGGTCTTCTGGAAACAGGAAGTAGGCAGAGATAGCAGATTCCCAGGCCTGACTGTGAGCCTCTACAGCTATTTATTACTGAGCATCAAAAAAAAAAAAAGAGACAAGAGCTGAGAGAATTCACCTAATCCTGTAAACCAGCTGACTCTGAGAAGTGCCATTTTAAGAGCTTGTATAACCTTTTCACTAAAGGTCTCTTACACAGAATGTCCCCAATCCCACATCAACTCAGGCAAGTTCTATCACCAAAGGAAAAAAAGGGCAGCATTCAAAAAAGAGGTGCTGTTGCTTACCAACTGATACAAGTTCTCCCAATAGTCCTGGGTCATAAGGCGAAACAATGCCAAGAAGGCCCAGCTGAAAGTGTCAAAGCTTGTGTACCCATAGTTGGGGTTGCGCCCTGCTTTCATGCACTGGTATCCCTCTGGGCATTGCCTGAAGAGAGAAAGGAAAATCAGGGCTCTTCAACAAATTCTTCTCACTCCCCAGTTGTAAGTTATCCATGACTTTGGAGACAAATACATAGCCATCTACAGAGCTAAGCTAACAAATTGGAATTTAAACAATGGAAGAAAAGAAGAAAGAAAATCACCAGGTGAATTTTTTCAAAAAGTGAGGTCCTGGGGACAGGCTTAGGATCAGCACGACATGGGATGCTTCTTAAAAAATGCTGATATCTATGTCCTAGCCATGACCCAGGGAGAAAAGCTTTGGATATGGGATCCATGAATTCGTGATTTTTAGGAGGCTTGCCAGCAGATTCTTACACACGCCTAAATTTCAGACTCACTGTCCTAGACTCATATGAATGTGCAATTCAACCAAATTCAATTCAGCTACTATCTCAGATGACAAATGGCTAGAAGTTCCTCTCAATCGTTCCTTTTTTCTTAATGCTCTCTGTGACAACCTCTCTCATACCAGGGATTTCCATGGTTATAATAGCTCTTCTGCTTGTAGGCTTACCTTATAGATATTTCAACATTTTCTTCAATACAGAAATTAAATGGCGATCCTGTTGGCACTGTCATCTTAAAATACCAATACCCAGCGGCCCAATTTATACCCTGAATCATAACACTACAACTTGTATTTATAGAGCCTTCCATTTACAAAGGACTTTCATGATGTTATCTAACTGGACCCTTACAATAATTCTCAAGGAAGTGAGAGCTTATCAAGTGACTTATCAAGTGCATTTTGTAAACTGAGGCTCAGAGAAGTTAAACGGCTTGCTGAAGTTTAGCATTCGAAGTAGCAGGGCTCAAATTATGTTGCTGTATATTCATGTTCATTGCAGCATATTCACATTTCTTAATAAGGAAGCAACCCAAAGGACCAGTGCCCATCAGCAGATGAATGGATACACAAAACGAGGTGTCTACATACAACAGGACAATTAGCTTTAAAACGAAGCGATTCTGTCCTACGGTGTAACATGGATAATCCGCAGGACGATATGCTAAGTGAGATAAACCAGTCACAAAAAGGCAATCACTATGACTATACCTATAAAGTACTTAGAGTGGTCAAGATCGCAGAGACAAAGTAGAAGGTGGCTGCGGTTGGGTGGGTGGGGTGGGGAGCAGTTCCTGTTTAATGAGCAGAGTTTCAGTTTGGGAGGATGGAGGATGCTGCTCTGGAGACGGACGGAGGTAACTGCTGCACAATAGTGTGACTGCGCTAAACGCCACTGAGCTGGCCACTTAAAAGCTTCGAGAGTAAATTTTATGGGATGTGTATTTCACTGCAATCAAACAAATGGGGAAAATATTATGTTACTATTTCTTTTCCTCCCCCGGGATGTCAGGTCTAGAATATCTTGGGTCAACATTAGGTGCTAACCAAGACAGCGTCTTTACGTTATATTTGATTAATCGTGTCCGGAGAATAGGAAGGAAGTCTCCAAGGAAGAGGCAACACAGCTGATGTTAAAGATTCTATCCTCAGTCCTTTACTGCTTTGATTTTGGCTTGAGAGTACAGTAAAATGCCAATTTTGTTTAGACAAACATGACACAGAAAGAAAATCTGAGTCAGCCAATAGGTCAGATCCCATCAGGGACTACTACATGAGCACAGAGAAAAGTAAATATATTGCCAAGTTTCAATTGATACATTATTTTAAGGGAAGTGGATGAAGTCAGGTGAGCTACTTACCCAGCATCCGAACTGTTCCCACAAAGCAAAGGTTCTAGCATGCCAGGAACTGTGTAAAAATTTGCTAGGAAAGTATAAAGAGGCCGGAAATGAATAAGGCATATTTAGTGAACGAGAGATAAGGCTACACTGTTCCTAACTAGCCCCGAGGAAATAGTTATTGATTTCAGTGCATAGAGATCTTTTTTGACCGCAGGGAAACCTGGGAAGAATTCTTTCCTATTGTTTCCTATGTATGTTTAAACACGAACTGTTGCCATAAAGTCCTCAATGCAGTCCTTTTCGCAGACATCTGACCGCTGCCCGTACTTCAAATCTATGCGCCAGGTTCTGTAGTGGAGTCAGATGTGGTCTAGGTAAGAGTTTTCTCAGTTCTTTACACTTTTCTACAACTTTATATCCTTGCAACTTCTCTTTACCCAAGATAAATTTGAAATCCTCACTGATCATAGTCACTGTATCTTATTTTAACATAAAAGGCATGTTTCCTGTGTGTGCCCCTGAAAATCCCCTTTGCAGCATTTTTTTTTAAATTTTTTTTTTAAAGATTTATTTTTATTTATACAAGAACTGGGGTATAGGCCAGAGGCACGGGAGGGTGAGAGAATTCACCAGCGACAGAGTGGGGAGCAGAACAGGCAGATGACCAAAAACACTGCTGAGGGGAGCAGCGGGCGAGACAGGAGAGGTCTGCCGTGCCAGGTGGGTATCTCCCTGGCTGGGAATCGAACCCGCGCTGCAGAGGTGGCAGACAGCTTCACAGCGCTGCACTCAACCCGCTGTGCCACGGAGGAGGCCCTGCAGCATTTTTGTATAGCTCCCTAACTGCCTTTATTTCCTTAAGAGTGACTAACAGTGACATCGCTAACTTTCCCACATTATTTTATAGAGTAAAATGCTCTTAAGATTCAAGTGCTTTGGTTCCTGAAATTAAATGATTAAAATTCCTTAACTATATTAGGGTCGAATGGTGCCTTGGAGATCACAGGTCTCCCTAGACCAGATCAGCTACTAAGCCCTAGTGTGATTAAGAAAGCTTACCAGGTATATTCTGCAGCAATTATTTCAATATTTTGGGTAACCCAACTAGGGAAAAAAGGGCTTTGATCAAGCTTCTAAGCCTGATTTTCAAAGCAAAAGTTTAGGGATACAGGCAAAAACGTGATAAAGGGAGAAAGAGATGGGGAGAGAGCAGGGATGTTGGGGAGCTCCTGACACCACTCCACCCGCAGGAAGGGAGCAACCGCCCAGGCTGCCTCCGCACACAGCATTCCCCACTGGCCCGGGGGTGGCATCTGGTGTGTCACCTAAAGACAGGCTTTCCTTTCTCCTCTGGCAGAGAAGAGGCCACCTACTTTTATTGTTGATGTACTCGTCCCAATCAAAGCCTTTGGTGCCGTTCTCCAGGTAGCTCTCGTTGAAGTTGATGGGCCACACCACACACTTGTTGCGCAGGTTCCCCATGAACAGCTGCAGTCCGATCAAGGCGAACACACTCAGGCAGAACACTGTCAGGATCATCACGTCCGAAAGCTTCTTCACGGACTGAATGAGGGCACCCACGATGGTCTTCAGGCCTGGAGAGATAGCACCCCCGGAATCAGAGTCACCTTGCAGCCCTCCCCGCCTCCCCCAGCTTCCCTCCGAGCTACCCGCTTGACTCCTCCCCATGGATGACCCTCCAAACATTGGCCCTGTGACTTCGTACCAGAGTAGCAGTGAGGTACCACGAGTGTCAGGCTTCCCAGGTGGATCACCAGTTAAGTCATTGTTAAAAAGAAAAAGAAAGTTCCTTTTCCAACATGTGACACACCTTTCTTCCTGGACATGCTTTCCTGTCTCTGCTTCTCAGCTCCTTAAGTGAGTCAAACTCTTACTTGCTGCAGGGCCTTTTGATGTGCTACTCCCATGACCCGTACCTGCCCTAGCTGCCCAACTCTTAGTCACTTTTCACTCTCAAGTATCAACTTCTCCAAAAAGCCTTCCCTGACTTCACAATTCTTCTCCCTCCCCATTATTATTAATAGTCTCAAAGGGCCTCACACTTTCCTCTGGAACGTCCGTCATGCTTACAATGAATTATTTGTGCGTCTTGTTCACAGCTGAATCTATGTTGCCTAGCTCATAGCAGGCACACAAGTCACTATCAGATGAATGAGTAAATGGAAAAATCAAGGATTGATTTGGAAAGAGAACTCCTAGGAAGTTTAAAAGCCAATAATAAGTGAGAAGATACAGTGATATTTTCTCAAGAACTTTGCAAATGCCAAAGTATTGAAAAAATTAATTATTATCAATCCAGTATTTACAGTTTGTCTTTCTAGTGAAAAAATACAACTTCTTTGCATCACACATACACCCTAATCTGTACAAGTAGCCTTTTTAGATTAAAGGGGGAAAAAAGCATAACCCATTTGAATTTGAGGTTTAAAGGCAAGCCACTGGTTCAAATTTTAACCTGCAGGTAGACTACTTAATTGCAGACAGAGCAGTAACTGGAGACGCAGAAAAATGTGGTGGTGGGCACATGATGTTTGGGTTGAAACTGAGTCCACATGTGACTCTCCTGAGCATGCCCAGACATCAGGCTTACCATAGGATAAGGCCAAAGAAGCTCTGAGCCTCCCTGGGGTGACAGCGCACCAGGACAGGTCCCAGAGACGGACACAACAGCCTTAAGGGGGAGCTCGTCCCAGTTCCAGATCTGCAGCATGAATATCAATCTGAAATTCAAGAGCAATCCTAATCCTGGCTTTGAAGTGCAAGGCTGGGTTCATAATGACTCATCTTAAGCAAACTGTACTAATCACTCTTGTGACCTGAGCAATATGTCTAACCTCTTGCAACCTCAGTTTTTATCATCTTTATAGTGGGCATAATCATAGTTGACTATAATAAGATTGTTGTGAAGACTAAGCAAGATTCATATAAAGCACTTAACACAGCTCCTCACACATACTAAATGACTCAAATGTGAACCACTTTCGTCTGAGCCTCTGTTTACTCATCTACAACAAGTTATTTACAACCCCAAACCCACTATGTTGCTGCAAGGTTTAAATAAGATAATGAAGGTGAAACACCAAGTATAGTACTTGGCCCTTAACACCTGGTAGCTGTGATCATATCTGTTGTCCTTCCTGAGGAGGGTGGCTGGGGTGTGACACTGAGTGACCTGGCACCATGGGGGTATAATGGGTGATACAGGTGTGAGTCCTCCTTAGCTGGATCTTGCAAGAAATCATCTAGAATTTTCAGAGTTGAGCCGGAGAGAATTTTCTGAGTCCGAGAGCAGCATAATGGAAGCCTTGCCTAGCGAGGGCCTGGCACAGAGCAGGTCCTTGACAATAGATTTCTTATTGAAAGAGTAATGAAAGGAGAAAATGTCTTTCCTTTCACACAGATATCCTAAAAACCATCTATTAGGGGAAAAAAAGCCAAGAGTTTTAGACTGAAGACAGAAGTGTTCAGGGCCTACACTCTTTCACAGAGTGGGCCTTCCATGGAGAACATGGCCATTGAAGGGGTTCGGAAGAGCTTGCCCGGGTCCCAGAACATAAGGCATTTCTAACCTCATTCCTCTCTTCCTCATAGGGCTGTGCAGAAAGGGAGCAAGGCAGGGAGTTAGAAAGGAGTTTAGGTGCTGGCTTGGGCCACTTTTTATGACCTATTCCATTTCAAAATGAATTTAAGGGGACCTCACAGTTCCATTTTCTCAAATACAGAATGTGGATGAACACAAGTATAGGGTGAGGACAGTGGAGGAGAAACTGAAGAACCTTCTCTGAAAGTCTTTAAAAGTAGGGTAAAGATAACTGTTTGGAGTTACGTAGTTGAAATTTCAATCTTTTATCCCTAAGGTCTAGGGAAATTATACCAAAAATCACCCAGCTAGGTAAGAAGGCACTGGTGGTGTGAAATAGAAGGCAGCTGTAAAAAAGTAAAAACTGTTCCAGAGCTAAGGAACTTATTTCTGTAAGCTGCTGAGGAATAGAAAAGCCCTTCATCATATCTGACCAGGCTGGAGGGTGGGGGAACCTGTCTTGGTCCAAGAATTGAATTCTAGGCTCCACAAACTATATAGTTCTACTGTTTTCAAAGTCAGAATGATTAAGACAAGCAATGGCCTCCACTGAAGAATGGCTATAAAGCCTCTTTCCCTGACTTCTCTGTGAAGGGCATGTCCAGCCATCTCTTCTGAATGGTTCAGACAATCAGAATATGAACAATGGATGACTGTTCTTTTCTACAGGAATGAAAAAGTGAGCTATGAGCTGTCATGTGTATTAGCAACATGAGTATATATCACAAAATAGTCAAACCAATGTATTTGTGATGTAAATAAAAGTGTTAAGAAGCAAATAATTTTAGCATGAGTCTAACTGGATTTTTCTGGGCAGGAACTCTCTGGCTAGTTCCAAGTCCATGTAATAGAAATAGAAATTCCATGTAATAGAAATTCCAGGCCTTGAGCTTAAACTATCCCCTGTTTCAAAAGGGTGGGCTCCCCGCAGCCTTGTTTGTAGGCAGTGACCATCTGCAGACATCTAACCTTAACCCACATCCTTTCCTCCAGGAATCTGGAACAAGACAAGAGACAGCCCAGTTGTTTCTCACATGGGGGGAATGGTAAAATATGAATTTGGGAGTTAAACGGTGTCTTATCTTGTCATTATTAGGATACATCTGACAATAATGGCAGTCCTCATGCTAAGAAATAGAATGTGGAAATAGAGACATGGAGAGAAGAAAGATGGAGACAGTGTACTTCCTGGCATCTGGGCCTTTCAGCTGTCTGCAGTCCAGCTTTCCTGGATTCTAGAAGCTCAGAAGTATTCCCGCTCTTGGGTTTTACGTAGCCCTCCTGTATCCTGTCCTCGGCTGCCAGAGAGGCTTAATTAATATAATACACTGACCATACATCACTTTGCCGGGAGGGGACCAGAAACCTCACAATCAGCTGGTTTAACCATCTCTTCATATACCAGATGCAACTGCTGCAGAAATATGTAAACAGGAGTCCAGACAGCCAAAAATAAAATTCTTTAGGCGTTCTGCTTTCAAGTCTGAGGCTTAAATCAACGCCATGCTAAGAGTTCTTTCAGTTTTCAAGAAGTTTAAAGTTCAAAATTCAGTTGGAAATGGTACTCAGCAGCTTATACTTCACAGGGGCTCAGAGAAACAAATCACAAATTAGCAAAAATAAACACTAATACATTAATTACAGCCATCTAAGAAGTTTACTCTCCAAGATTCTCATCCAGATCTCTAGAAGAAAATCAATGGAAGGCACAGGAATTAGGACAGTGAGGTGGCTTGACGTTTGGAGGCAGGCACACTATTACACAGCAGTATCATGTAAACCGTCTCTGGATTATATCCTGGCTTCAATCAAGACTCTTCTTCCTCCCCTCAGGGTTGCTACTGCCAATTACCCCATTTGCAGACATCAACGCCAACTTATGGAGATGACACCACCAATGCCTTTTTAAAGCTAAGCTCTACAGTCTCGCCAGCAGTGGCTGCTGCCTTGTACTAGGAAATGCAGCCAAGCATAAGTGCTCCCTGCTGCAGCCAACACAGGTCCAAAGGCCAGGAAGCTGCTGGTAGGATTCCTGACCTGATGCGTGCAGGGACGGAGAATGCCCCTACTGGGCTGTGACAAGAGACTGTCCTGCTTCTGCTGTTGACTCACAACACCACATCCCAGAACCAGCAAGATCCCGACTGAAAACCGATTATCCAAAACAGAGCAGAATGCTCCTTCAAACGACTCCTACACAACAGAGTGTGCAACAGAAGCCACGTGGGGGCAAATTGGACAGGGAGAACTCTTGGAAAAGGCTAACATTAGCTAGTGTCGGGATGGATCTGAGCAGAAGCGGTTAATGCATTTACTACATATCAACACAAGACAGCTGGAGCCGACATACAGAAAGGAAGTCAGATATTTAAGGACTTTTGAGAAGCATGTGAAGCTACTGCCACACAATTCTACTCCACCCTGTATTCAAAGGCACCTCCGAACCCTTCAAGACACCCAGCCATCTCTTGAACAAATCAACGAAGTCTGCTTATGCATTAAGTCCAGAGAAATCAGCCATTGATTCTGGGCTCAAAATCTCCCACTATGGTGATGTCCAGGTTATACATTTATGTTTCCGAGTTTGTGGCTCAGATTGAGAAACCTGAATGGTTTGAAGCTCTGTGAGCTAATCCTCCTACAAAATTAACCCTGGAACAGGCCTGCACAGCAGTAACAAGCAGTTCTCAACACCCGGGGGAAAGAACAGTTCCCCAGTTCCGAACGTCTGGCTTGGTTCCAGACAAGCCCCGGGTGAAGTCATGCCAGGTCAGCTTCCCTGGGGCAGATTCTTTCCTCACAATGACAGTTCTCGAAGGTTCTTCAGACAAAGAGTAATTTGGCTGAGATTTGGGGGACTAGAGATTTATTTACTCAAGGTCAGATTCATTTCACAAAGGCTGACCAACACTAATCCAGCTCTCAAGGACGGATCAGTCGACTCCTGTGTCTGGCATTTTTGCACTGCATTAAACTTCAGTTACCTCTCCTGAGAAGCAATGTGGGAAAAGGAGAAACACAAAAGCAATTGGATTGATAACCAGAATATTTTAAAAGCAACTGCATTTGTAAACATACTTTAAAAACACTTGCTGTCTCCCTTCAGTACATGGCAGAAGTTGCCATATTCATGATGTACACATTTAAAGAAAAGGCTTTCTTTGTGCATGCTGGGATGGGAAGGAGAAGGGCCAATAGGACCATCTGACCTACTTTTCACCTGATACCACAGGTCCGCAGAAGATGGGAGAGAAATAAAATTATCACAGAAAAAAATTATCAAGAAATTACAACTCCAAAGAGAGCAAAATGATACTGAATCAAGGCTGACAAATAGAGGAGAGGAAATGCTTTTGGGGAGCCGCTTAAACGATGATGGAAATGAAAGTGAACTGGCCAGTGAGGCCCTCCCGACTGGCTTCATGGTACACAGCCAGTGCTACTTGCTAAGAAAAACTTGAGACACCTGCTATCTTTGGGCACATGGTCAAAAAAAAAAAAAAAAAACATGAGAAGAAACTTCTGACAAAGTTCACTAGAAGGTAGTTTTTGTTCACAGACCCCAGATAAATACAAAGTGAAAACAAAGTTTAAAGAAATAGGAATTTCTACACAGACTACTTTGATGTCAAGTTGAATCTGGCAAATTCCAGACCAAAGGAAATTTAAACAAAGTGTCTCCTCCTGTCACTGGTCCTTCTAGCAGGGTCTGTGTGGACTCCTCTCCAAGCAGAGCCTCTGAAGCAAATGGTGCAAACCTAGGTCTTGAGGGAGGGTCAGAATACGTCTTTTCAAAGCTACAAGAAGGTTCTCTCTCTTGTACAAGAGGCTGGAGCTAACCGATGCACTGCACTCCCTCATCTCTGGGGAGACCCAGTGCTGTGATATATTCCAAATATCTCCCACACACAAGAAGAGAGAGAGGATGGTGTCTGCCGAGGCGAGCTGGGCAAATGCTCCAGGGAAGACGGCCTCACTCTCAGACAGGGGCTGAGGCTTCGGGATCCTCGCTCAACCCTGCAGGCCCCAGGTTGGTTCCTGGGTTGCTCTCAATTTTTTTTTCCGGCGGCTTCAGCAAAAAACTATAGTCAAACTGGGAGCAGGGAAGGCAAAGAGAACAATTCCACTGACGTAATCCCTGAGAAACTTTGTATGTAAAATGGTGCCTCGTACTAAGTGGGAACGATGGCCCAGCTCCACTATAAAGGAGTCAAAATGACTTAGATTCCAACCAAGAGCTGGCCCAAGTCTGCAGACTCAGACACTGGTGCCCCACGCTGGCAGGAGAGCTGGTTAGCAGCAGGTAGGAATAGGACCCAGCCTACCAGAAGTAGAATGGGGAGCAAAAGGATTTGGGATTAAAAATCACATTTAAATTGGGCTCTTCCGCTGCAGCAGGCACTGCAGAGCAGCCACTGCACGGGTCTGTGCTCCCCCAGGGCTGTGGCCTCAACAAGGGCCTCGAGGTGACAAATAACATGCAAGTGGAGACAGCCGCGGCCTCAGATGCCTCACCCAGAGCACCCGTTGGTGCGGGAAGTCACGCAGGAGGTGTTGGCCCTGTCCCCATGAGTGGTGCACCGTGGAGTCACTCAAGGTCTCTAAGGACGAGTGGGCCCTCAAGTTTGTCAAGAAAGGGTGGGGGCACACATCCATGCCAGAAGAGGGGAGCTGAGCAATGTCCTGGTTGCCAAAGGGAAGGTGGCTGCCAGCAGAGACTGAAACCCACCCCCCATATGCACACATAAAATTTATTCAGAAAAAAATAGCATTTAAATTTATGTATCAATTATACCAATCATTGATAGTGAGCTACTGTTGGCTTTATTATTCCTTAAAGTTATTTTGCATCCCAGTTTACCTACCAAAGCCAGCCCAACAGGAGATGCGTCTAGAAATAGGAATCCCGAAATCTATTTCAAAATGTGAAGCTGATGTCTTTAGGTTTAGGTTTCTTCTTTATAATAACTGTTATTAATACAATCATTTTTGGAGCACTACTATGTGCTAGGCACACTGTGTGTGTGTGTGTGTGCGCGCACACACACACACACAATACTGGAGTATTAAGGGTAAATAATGTGACATCAATCAAGACTTAACTTGCAGCAAAGCTGTGGTCAGAAGTTAATCATAGAGCAGAGATAGAGAAAGAAGCTAAGAGCCAGACCAGAGAAAGCATCTGCTGCCCTAGTTAGTGAAGAGAACGCAGCTTTCCAATTTAATTCTGGAAGAGAAGTTTTGAGATCACAAGAACATAAAGAGACAGATGCCTTGTGGCGTACGCTGGGGGAAGTGAACAGAAAACATGGGATCATATTTAAAAGAGGCCAGAGGAAGAAACAGACCAAAGGAAAAATGAAAGGAAAATATCTGGTACTCCAGATCCCTTAAAGAATAAGACCAAGCCAGCCTGAGGGTTTAGGACACCACCAACCAGTTGTGGGAGGCTGCCTGAGCGTGAGTTGGGTTTTCTGTCAAACAGATTTAAAATGACTAAGAACTAAACATTGATAAGTCAAGGTTGTATCTTTTGCCAAGATACTAAGGTCCTGTTCATTTTCAGTAAGGTCCTAATTTACTGAACCATTTAATGGCCCAAATTTATAAATGGGGAACTGAGGGTTCCCTTCCTTGGGGTTCTTGGTAAGCCACACTTCCAAGTTCCCTCTCTCTCCAATGCTATCTGGAGAGAGGTTTCCCTCTCTCTGAATCTGATATATAGATAATGTTGGAAAGAATATTCCTGAGTCAGTCACCAGGAGAAGAGCTACGTGGTGCTAGGAATAGGGCACTACTTCCCCAAAACCACAGTGGAAATCTTACCCGAAAGCCCCTGAACACAACCAAAGTCCCTTCAGCAATGACACACTCTTGACTTCCACCACATTATGGTCAAATATGCCTTAGTTTCACGTGACTAACTAAAATATCGTCCGTCCAGAGTTCAAGATTGTTCTTTAGAAAGATAGCTAAGTATTACCCAATTGCAAGGATTTAAATTAAATTAAGGGGTCTTAACCTGGGGTCCACAGATGGGCTTCAGGGGCTGGGGAAGGCTGTGAACTTTCATCTGATTCTCAAAAGTATCCAAAACCTTCAAAAGGTTAAAAACCACTGGGTTAGCTCAACCCAAACCCAAAAGAAAAAGGCAGATATTTTCAAGAGCTTGTCAGTCAGCTACCTCTTAACCCACACACCGGTTCCTCTTTTTTGTCTTAAGTTTCTGTACTTTTTGTTTGCCCATACCCTTAGATGTATCTTCTTACCTTTGATTTTTTTTTTAACAGCACCTGAAACACTTTCACTGGTTTATGTGTGGAAATGGTCTCTGAACACATATATAGTAGATGTCTATTAGTTCTTATTCCAGTGAAACAGACAGCAACAGAATGTGATAGACAGCAATGATTAAAGTTCAGTTCACTAACTGCAAGGCTCTAAAATTGTCTATAATCTAGACTAGTTAATTGATTAGGTCTCTTATGTGATTAAATAATTCCATTAACATAGTAATAGTAAAAGAACAATTCTTTTAATAACATCCCATCAGCAAACCATGCCATAGGAAGCCTGGAAATCACAAGCAATGGAATGATGGTGAATGTTAAAATTACTGTAATTCCGCAAGGCCACAAAGCAAATGACTCGTATTCAAAGAGACAGCTCTGTGAATTTTTTTTCCGATATTGTTAAGATCCAGGTGATTCTTAAGCGCGTGCCTTTTCAAAAGCGTGGATGAAATGGGGGCTGCATGCCTGGCAAGCGCTGGCAGATGAACTGCCTAGGACCCCGGGCCATTCCAGAGACCATCTCCCAGGAGAAACATGCGGGTGCAAGGCCATAACAACTGAGCTGGAGCTGGCTCAGGAGGTGGCGAGCAAAATGAATGCAGGGCGAAGAGGAGAGGAGGCAAAGTCAGTCTTGTGTTTAAATGTTCTCACCTGGAATTACAGAGATAGTTTTCAAAGCTCGGAGAACCCTGAATGTTCTCAGCGCTGAGACATTGCCCAGGTCCACAAATTCTGTCACATATCTGTAGTAAGGGAGGTCACACACATACACAAATGACAAACACAGACACAAACACAAACACCAAAGGAAAAAAAACAAAACCACAACAAAACAAAAAGTACAATACGTCACGTCAGGGCCCTAACCCAACACCTAACACCAACCCCGGGCCATCTTACCTGGGATTACCGAAATAGTTTTCAAAGCCCTCAGTACCCTGAAAGTGCGTAGAGCTGAAACATTGCCTAGGTTTACAAACTCTGTTATATACCTGCAGAATCAAACCAAAGTTAACTTGTAATGGTACCACTGGGCTAGGAGAATGGGGGCAAGAAAGGGTCATATACAAGCTATGATTTCATATTTTCCTTGAAAAAGAAAAGTTTCAAAATATAAACATTGAAGGAGCACATTTTTCTTTTTTTTTCAATTGGGCAAGGAGAATTCAAAAGTAAGTATGAAAGAGCTGATCCAACCAGGAGGTTTCTGGGGCTTACTTGCTTCATCTGCATAGTGAATTGCTAATCTCGGTCAGAACGACTATCTTCTGCCTGTTTATGTGTTTCAGTAAAAAGGAAGGCCAGGAGGCATCAAAGGTTTATGTCCCCAAGTTTTGTGGACAATTTCTTAGAAAAAGGAGACAAATTTCTGTAGCAGTAGCCCTAAAAACAAAATTGCACTAAAATAACTCCCTAGTTGACAATTGCAAAAATGCCTAAATGTCTGGATTGTGACTCATCCAGGAGTTGTGTCTTTGCAGTCACGCCTGCAGATCAGGTTTTAGCCAAGACACACAATGGGGGCTCAGAACAACACGGACCAGTGACCAGAGCCAGAGAGTAACGAGCTGTGCTGTCACAGCTCTGTGCCCAGCAAGGGCACTCGGTGTTAAATGAACATCAGGGCGTGCTCATAATGCTGGAAAGCTAGAGGTTGCTTAGTATAACAGAAAATCAAACTTCCAGTTTCCAGTAGTCAATGTCTATCATTCATTCACATTTTACAGCTGAAACACATCTTTCTAGCTGATGCTCAGTTCCATACATATACAGACGAGTGAGAGCGCATCTCTCTCTCTCTCTCTCTCTCTCTCGTTTTTTTGCTCTTTCACACACACACACACGCGCGCGCGCACACACACACATACGCTTTTACTCCCACCAAACCACAGAGCACTTCCCCAATCTGGAAATAAAAATTATTAAGCCTGCTATAACTCTTCTATTATCAGCTAAGTTTCCCAAAGAGACACATTATTAAAACGGCAGGAATTCCCAGCAGCAACCAGCACGCCAATGTGCAGTGACTTTGGTTTCTAGCAAGTTCAAAGTTCTGTCAATAATTCTTCAGGAGGAAGAAAATGGGAGGCTGTATGGGAGATCACTTTCTACTTTCTCTCCCAGCTGTAAAGTCTCTCCCTACCTTCTCCCATGTAAAAACGCTGCCTAATGCTCAAGAAACTCTCAAGCAAGAATCTTGGGCACAAACCCTCACTCCCTCATGTGGTTGGCCATTCATTCCTCATTCAATTGTGCCCACAAACTCATCCTTACGAACACTGTCATGCAAACACACGCGGGAGCATGCCCACACGCGCTCGACCCAGGACACTGACAGAGCAAGTGGGGAACTTACGCCATCATGATGACGCTGAAGTCTAACCAGTTCCACGGATCCCGTAAAAAGGTAAAGCCATCTATGCAGAAGCCTCTTGCAATGATTTTCACTAGTGACTCAAAGGTATAAATCCCTGTGAACGTGTACCTGTAAGAAAGGGATAGCTTGCAGTAACTTCTGGACAGAAAGTTTAAATCTTTAAAGATAACACTCATCTTAAGTACGGCTTCAGCTAACAGACCAACAGCAAGGGCACAGACAATGCAGCAGAAAGGAAGTGAGGAAAAGGGGGCGCTTTCAATGAAACTTACTGAAATGCACAAACCAAGAGCTTTGGAAAGTTGTGTTGGGTCCTGAAAGTGACTGCAAAGAAGGACCTCTACACCCCCTGTGATTGTTTTGAGTCAGGTGAGGAGAGTCAGAGCTATTTTAACTTTGGACATGTCCAAAAAGAAAGGGAAACCAAAAATTAGAGAAGGCAGCATCTGAAGGCCTGAGGAACCAGAGGCAGGCAGTCCAAGGTACTGGGTATGGGGAGGGCGGGGTGAAGGCAGTCATATCCAGAATACTTACCCTTTCTAGAGCTGACTTCTAAGGGTATCCCCTAAATTCTACATGCATCCTCACCCTTGTCTGTCAAATAAGTGTGGGCAGTAAGGTAAACAGTGGCAGAGCAAGATGCAGTGGCCTAGAAATCTTAAAAACAAACAAGCAGATAAGAAAACGAGCTACTTACTCCACATTCTTGGACCACTCAGGAGGGTTACTAAAAGTCATGAATACACAGTTGGTCAAGATAGTGCACATGATGATCATGCTAAATACTGTAGAGAAGAGTCAAGGGCAAATACACAAAATCTGGCCTGTTGCTGGCCCAGAAAGCAAACACATTTCACACTGGGCATCATGCATCCTAAATCAATAACCTGGGAAGAGGCAAAACACAGAGGAGGAACAGGCCAGGTGATGATGAAACTGTCTTCAAGCCCATCAGCACAGGATGCCACCCGTGCCCATGCTGAGTGGAGAACTGTGGCTGCACAGGGCAGGAGGGTGACTCACTTTTAAAAGGGCAGTGACTATTCCACTCCTTGGTCGTAAAACACTTGCCCCTCTTACAACCTCCACATCAAGTATGAAATAAGCCTCTAAATGACTTTGCACAAAGGACCTAGTCTGCTAGGCTCCAAGATTATGAAGTGGGAAAGTAAATCCAATCTGAGTTATTTGGTACTCAGTATTCCTAATGATCATGCGTGACGAGAGATCTGGAAATACTCATGCAATGAATGGTTGACTTTTCCCCTCCTCTCGGAAGGGCTATGCTGCACTCGTCTGGTCGTGGCATGTCTGGTGAGGGATCCAAAGACATCTGCAGCCCCTCGCTCCTCCAGGAATTAGAAAACGGGCAATTCTACCCGATCATTCTGAAAGGACGGGAGTGTTTATGGACAGCAAACCATTATGGTCCCACCCAGGGTCTCTCAGTCCCTTCTATTCTTCCTACTGAGAAAGACTAAACCGCTTTAGACCAGTATGAGCTACTCAAGCTCCAGCTGTCATTTTAACAAGTGTGGAAGGCATATCTCATTTGTTGTTAACTCACTCTTGCTAATCACGTTTGCCATATTCATTCTAATGATTATTTTAAAAAGAAAAAGTACTTCACGCAGTTCATTTTTTCTTAGCTATAGCTACATTTTCTTCAGGGAATAACATGTCTGGTAAGATGAGAAAAACTAACATTCTATCTTCTGACCCAACGAAAGGGAAGGTGCCCATTGCGAATTACTCATTTCCGTATAAACCTTCCTGTTTCAGAACCACGTTACTTGTTAACAACTGATTTCAGAAGCAGACTGCCAAAATCTTAAGAGTGGCAATAAAATGTGGCAAAATCTTAGCAAGCCAATTTAACAATCTAGTGGTTTCCTCATTCTACATGGACTAAGGACAGGGACTAAGGACTGTCAATACTCAGCAAAAAAAAAGCTTAAATTCATTTGCAAAGTTGCTAAACCTATCACATTTTTTTTAATCTGTCATATGCTCTCCATCTTAATAAGATGTAAAATATGAATAAGTTGCATTTTCTGTTTAAGGGGAGTAAAAGTACTAGAGAAGACTCATATCAACCCGCAGTCTACATCTAAATCTCTATACCCAGGAGGTCGCTGAATCTGAAAAATTATCTGAAGAAAAAAAATATTCAAGTTAGACCTCTAAAGCAATCACGTATTTGTAACTCAAGAAGCAGCTTTCAAAACATTCCAATATAGGAATTAAGTACATTGAAAAATGGGGTAATCTGCCTCAGAATGAAATTACTAAAGTCTAAGAACTTTAAAATTAAGTGAATTAAGTAAAAGGTAACCATCTTAATTTTCCCCACTTTCTAGATACCAACAAAACTCCAGATTTCCATGACATCATCTTGAGAAAAGAATTTGCTGGAGCTCACCTCAGGATCTGGCAAACTTTGCCTCTTAGCCCTCTGACTGCTGGAGCAGCCAACAACACTGCTGGCAAAATAATGAATACACAATGTCAAAATTCAGAAACCTGCACAAGCACACACAGGTGCTGCACTCACTGCACATTTGCAAAAAAAGGATATGAATGTATCAAAATTTTAATAGCTATTCTTCTTATCAGGTTAAAAGGACTTAAAATGTACAAGGCAGGCGTGGCACTAAATCTGAAGAGAGTTTTCCCTCTGTTTAATACTACAAAGGTCTGTGGGAAAAAGAAAAAGAGAAATGATTAAAACATGGAAATTATTCAGCACGTGAAACAACTTAGTTTTCTAGGCAAGAAATAAACTCAAATATACTATAATTTCTAAGGCAAGGAGTCTTAAGGCAGTATCTTTCTCTTTCCCTAACGTTACTTCCCCTGCCCAGTTATATTATAAGCAGTTGCACTATTTTCAGCAGCTTTACAGAATAAACTTACCTCTTTCAGAAGAAAGTCATTTGAACTATTACCTAAGCTATGCCAGCTCTAAATGAAGCAAAGACCATGAATTTAGGGTTAACATTCAACAGTGTTTACTGAACTGCCTGGTGGGTGCCAGGAAGTCTTTTAGGTGCTTGGGGAAGATCAGGGGAAAGAGAGACAGTAAACTGACAATGAATAAGTAAATCATATAGAATGTAACTGCTATAAAAAAAGAAACTCGGTTAGAGAAAGGAAGGTCCAGGGGCTTGGCAGGGTGATGGTGAGTGGCAGGTGACAGCGTAAGGAAGGGGTCACGCAGGGAGCCTACTGAGCATCTAATTTGAAGTGAGAAGAGTTCTTCATTTTA